CAGTGATTTAACGACAATCACCATACATTGTTTGAAATCGAATTACAAAATTCATTATACTTTGAAAGAAGATATATTTTCTCTTTTTGTTAAAAATGTTCTTCCATTAATATCCTTCGATTAATATCACTATTATTTTAATAATGAAAATAATAATTCAAAAATGGATATAATAGATAAAATTCACTTTTTCAAATATAAATTTAATTTAATAAGTTTTTGCGCAAACTTTTTTGTGCAAAATTTTTATTATTTGAAAAATTATGGTTACAAACAAGTATATTTTATTAATTAATTTTGAATTAATTTTATTTTTGGTCTCTTTTAAGAAACCACTTACAGGAATTACTGGATGCTCCACTATCTTATGTATATTATAATTAGTTTATTTTAGATAAGAGTGTACATATAATAAAATACATGTGCGTAAATTGTGACATATTTGAAAAACTATTTTTTAATATTATTCTTAATAATATATTAGGAATGCATGATATAATATAAAATGTGTGATTAATTAAAAAATTCGAGACAAATCGAATGGGTACTCTGATATCAGTAAGATATCTGCAAATTATTGTTGTTACGTGCTAAGTCTTAACTGTAAAATGCAACAGAAAAATTAATTTCTTGATAATCTTTCGTTCGATGTTGCTAAATATTCAAGTTGAATTTTTTTTTAATCTTGCTGTTATCAGATTTGATTTGTCTCGAATTTTGAGCAAATTTGGTACCCTAAAATTATTATTATTCACACATTTAATCAAGCAACGATAAAAGCGCATGTATTTCATTTTACCTTTAAATATATTTGATTGTAACATGTATATAAAAACTATTATATCCAGTCATTTTTTAGTAAAAAGAAAAGATTTCTTAAAATGGAAGAAGATGTTTTTTTACGCGAATTTTAATATTATATATTGAAAATGATAAGAAGGGTAACAGTCGTTAATCCGCTGCCAAAATCGCTGTTATCGGGAGCAGTCAGGAAGATCGGGGTTTCGTTCTTTCTTGTAGAGAAGCTTCTGATGTTTAATGAATCACTTAACTATCCGTTGTGGATCGATTTCGCGAGATCCGAAATAGAAGAAATAAGACAAATTGAAGTCGCTTCCCACTTTTAGGATCGTTCTTCTCTCTGTCAGATATTAACCAGCGTGTTACTCGGCAGAGGGATTTTGATCTGGTCTAATCGTTGGGCCAGCTATTCTTCATTGAGCGTGGCAATAACGCGATTATTTTAAGGCATAAGGATATTAAAGTTTGCCTGTTTGCAATTGTTCGCGGAACAAGATATATATTTTACTTTTGATCGCGAAATTTACATGAAATTGTATATTTGAAAAGAAATCGACTATTAGATTCTGCATACGCGTTTGATTCCTTACGTATATTATAATATTGTGCAAATTATATGAAATGCGCCTCTAATGTTGCAATATTTTTATTGTCGCACAAAATGATAATAATTATATTGCGCACGTTGTATTCCGATTATTATAGAAATTATGTGTATTGTGGTTAAATATTACTGTTATTATTAATTTATTTATTTATCATATATATTCGCGAAATTTAAACCGCGAAATTTAATTTTTTCTCTGATTTAATTGTTGGATAACATCAAAGTTTTACTTATCTTTCCGCGTCATCAAACATTTTTTTTAGAAAATCTTATAAAATAAATTAAAATTTCGCATTAAAATTACTTTTTCTTAATTGAGAGGAACACAAGCGATAAATTTATTAATGATTTTTTTAGTCGCGATAGATTATCAGCTACGCTAATCTAAAAATTTTCTAAAAATTTCTAATCAATTTTACGTTGTACGTATTGCGGATATTTTCGTGTAATATAGTAAAGTAATCTATGTATATATTCTACATAACAATTTTTTATGTATTATATATAATATATATTTTATTGTTATATATTACACTATATATTTTCAACGAAAAATTTTATGTATTATCTTATGTATTAACAATTTTATGTATTATATATATATATATATATATATATGTGTGTGTGTGTATTATGTATATATATTTTATTATTGTTATTGTTATACATTATATATTTTCAATTTGATTGTATTATTATATATTAAATTAATTTTCTAATTTATATTTTATAACTCTATTGTATTTTGAGTTAAAATAAAATATTATATATTAAGTTATACTATTATGAAAATGATAACAAAATTATGTGTAAAAGATATTTGTAACAATAAAAAATAAATCTTGAATAAATGTCGAAAAATGGAAAATATATCTTCATTTTTCGAAAAATTATTTTATTCTTCGAATTTTCCTTTTTTTTCTTTCTATATATATAGTATTATTGTAAGTCCAAGAATGTGTGTGTGCTCTCAACATCATTATCCGTATTATTAAAAATATTTGAATAAATTCGAATACATATTTATTTGATGTTGATACCAATTTATAAATTGTACTATAATTATATACTATATATATTTTGTAATATTGTAATATTTTTGTAGTATATTTTTATATGACTTGTAATATATTTTTATATGACTGCAAGCTATGTAATTATGCATTATAATATTTTATAATTATATAATATATATATAATATATGTATATTTTATACATTCTTTGTATTATACTTTCTATTTGGAAAATTTGAAAAACCTACATTATATTAAAAGAAAATAAAATAAAAAAATTGTACCTCTTCGATGGTATCTCCACCTTAACGAAGGCATTTGCCGGGTGAGGAGGTTTGAGTACTCTAATGATCCGGAGAGCTATGCCGGCGGTAACGTAGGCCGGTATTCATACAATTTGTTTTTATATTTAATCATCTTAAATATAATCTTAGATCGCATCTTAAAATTCTGTTCAATCTCAATGAAATAACAAACATTTTCTAAATTTTACTTAAAACGATTTTAAATATAAGACTGTGTAAACACTGGCCTTAATTACTGGTAGGGTTACCCATGCCGGATAGGTCAAAGAGAAAGAGTCAGACTAAGAGAGATACCGTAATTATAATTATTATATTAATAATTATTAATTAATTATATATATTAATATATATTATATATTAATTTATATTATACATTATTAATATATATTATATATTAATATATATTATACATATTAATTGTTAATATAATAATTATATTATATTATAATATATTATAATACTTAGTTAATAATTATTATATATTTTGAATAAGATGGAAGAGAGTAAAAGAATGATAAAACGATAAGAAGAAAGAAGCACGAGTCCCTATAGTCTTGAGAATGCGACAGATCACAACATTGCAAAGATTTGAAGAAGAAGATGCATCGGATAAACATATGTAGTAATTAGGAATAGCTTGTAATTAAGTCGACTAATAATAGTAATACTTTTTAATTATGTTACACTTTATAATTTAGCACATTGTATTATATATACATATAAAGCATCAAGCATTAAATATTTTGCTGTTATGAAAATTGTAATAGAACAATATAAAAAATTTGCTACATAAAGTGTAACATTCGAAAGCATTTTTTTTCACTGACGAGATACTATTAAAGATCAATGATTTTGCAAGATTTATCGTGACACGAAACATTTATGTATATACATATACATATATATTTATGTATATATATATATATATATATATATATATATATATATATATTTAAAGTAATCTAGATCGCGTCTTGAGATTCCGTTCAGTTAGTAAAATAGTTGTATTTTCCAACTTACTTAAGAGGATCTTAAATATAAGAGTGAATTATGAATGCGATGTATTTTTGTGCGGACATTTATCGAAAGGAATGCACGTGCTTCTCTAAATTGAGAGGTAAGATTGCAAAATATCGAAGCTTTATGCAATGTGTGTAATCTAAATCTGTTAACGTACAAGTATTAGAGTAACGGAATAAGTATATGTAATTTGATTAAAAATACGTTTCTTATATGAATTTTTAATTACAAATTTTATTATACTACAAATAAAAAAATCATGCTTGCGCGACGTGATTCTAACAATTTACCGACATGCACAAAATGACTTTATCGACAGTCGAAAAGTATTTTGACTACGTAATTCTGGCGTTTAACGTGAATGCAGATGGCGATACTAAACAGCAAAAAAGTTGCCGCATTGTGTGAAACGCGAGGCGCGAAATATTGTATTTCGTATATCGTTCTTTGCGAAAAAAATGTGTGAAAGTGTTGTATTCGCGATTAACAGTTCGTTGATGAATACTAATCAACGCAAGTATAATTTGTCGTGCATTGGATATCTCTTCAAACTCTGTATATGCATCGTTTTCGAATCGTCCTGATTGCACGTTCCGATAATACAGTGATCCAAAAAAGATCGTCGAATAAATTTCGTACGATTAGAATCGTGCACAGTATCGAGTGACTTTTATTTATTTGAAGCGCGATGTATTTTTGTGCGGACATTTATCGAAAGGAATGCACGTGCTTCTCCAAATTGAGATGAGGTAAGATTGCAAAATATCAAAGTTTTATGCAATGTGTATAATCTAAATCTGTTAACGTACAAATATTCGAGTAACGGAATAAAAGATAAAGATTTTGAGATCGTACAAGTTCGTATGATATATATGTATATATTAATCTCAATCTTTATTATATATTTATATATTTATTTATTTATGAGTCTTCTTTTTCTTTTTCTCAACATCATTTATTTATTTATTTATTTATTTATTTATTTAGTTCGCACCTTCACGGTCGCGCAAGTGCGGAGCCGCACATGCGCGCGCACGGAATCCCTAAGTCCCGATCTACGATAGGTAATTTAAGCCCTAAGCCTTAAGAAATTGACCAATTACAGTCGAGTATTCTCTTCATACTTGACTGTGATTGGTCAATCTCCTAAGGCTTAAAGCTTAAATTGCCTATTGTAGATCCGGCCTAATCGGATCACTGGACTGTCTGAAAACAATTGTTGAGCTACTGCGCATGTGTACGAAAACGCGATCTACAATTATTTGCCCAAGATGAGAAGTGAGGAGACGAGAGAGAAATATTATATATTCATCGTTCGAGATTACCACAATTTGTGTAATAAAGTGCGCATAAGACGAAATGGCATTATTCCGGGCATTGCCCGTTGGAATCGGGGCGACATCCAAAATCATCTCACGGAGCGTTCCAGCTGTGTTTTATCATGTCAATGTAAATATGATTAATTTAGGTTCTTATCATCATATTGATCCCCTAACCTCTAATCACTTTCATCTTATTATTATTACTTTTACGTTCACATGATTTTAACAGTTAATTTAGCATTAAATTTGTGATATGAATGTAATCCTGAAGATGATCGAAATATTATTCGTTTCGTATCGATGCCGCATTTTAATGCTTTAAGATTGATTTAATCGGCATTAAATGACTGGTATAAACACGGATCTTTCTCATAATCTTGTTTATATATATGTTGTGCATTTCGTAATAGGAATATAATAATAGTTCTCTTTTATTATAATTCAATTGTTTTTCTACAGCTGATTGTTCATATGGTGTAATATGCGTCTGTTACTCATCAATATCGATACTAATCTATTACTCATCAATAACATCGATTTAATGTCACTGACGTCTTTTTGATATATTTATTTTATTTCGATTAACGGCGGCACCATTTAAATGACATCATAATCGGTCACTTTAAGAAACAATTCAGTAACTCTCATAACTATATAATAACTTTTAGTTATCATAAGTACATTGTTTTATGTGAAAATAACAAAAGAAATGATTCAAACAATTATTTTTAATTGTGTTAAATGTTAATCATGTTATCAATAAGTAATTATTTGTGTGTCGCATAATATTACATGTTGTTTATACATTATGCTTCTGAAATGACACACGAATGTTACTTTACAATTGACATAATAGGTACTAGATCACTATGAAAATCCGAGAAACGTTGGTTCATTGGACAAAAATGATACACAAGTTGGAACAGGTCTTGTGGGAGCTCCCGCTTGTGGTGATGTGATGAAACTTCAAATTAAAGTTGATGAAAATGGCAAGATAATTGATGCCAAATTCAAGACTTTTGGTTGTGGCTCTGCTATTGCTTCGAGTTCTCTAGCGACAGAATGGGTCAAAGGAAAGACGGTAAGCTGTTTCTTATATAATATATAATTTATCACAATACAATATTTAAAAGAAAAAGATATATATTAAGAGATAATGGATAGTTTTCTTTCATTATTTTTTTTAAATAAAAGAAAATAAATTTTTTTATAAACTTTTTAAAATTTCTTCAAATCAAAAATAAAATTTCATAAAATTTTTATCAAATCTTGTAATTTTTTTTTAAAACTTTTAATTTTATTTTTTAGGTGGATGAGGCATTGGCATTGAAAAATACTGATATTGCTAAAGAGCTTTGCCTTCCTCCTGTCAAGCTGCACTGTTCGAGTAAGTATTGATACTTTAACTAGAATCTTTTTTTCTTTTTTTAATTGAAAAATTGATTTTTAATGTAATGCAATATTATTAAAATAAAAAAAATTTCATTTAGAAAAAACTAATAAAACTTGAATTTGTATACTTGATTATCAAAATTTCCTGATTCTAATTTTGATGTAATTTTTTTCTTCTAAATTATAGTGCTTGCCGAAGATGCAATTAAAGCTGCTCTGTCAGATTATCGCATTAAACAACAATCAAAGGAGAAAGAGCCAAACAGCACGAGTTAAAATTGATTATGTAAAATTGATTATGTGATAGTAATAAAAATAGATATAATTATTTTTCTCTTTTCATAGAAATTATTTATTATTTTAAGAGTATCATACATTATAATCATTATATTTAGAGCTAGGGAAATGACATTCCTTAGTCTATTATCTCTTCTCTGAAAATGTTTATATATGTATATTAACAAGATGACAAAAATTGTACCTGTACTCTGTACTATTTTGTTAGATGAAATAAAATTATTTAATTAATTTTTGAAGTGGATGCACATCATTTTTATTAAAGAATTATGTGAATCAGATATATCAAAAGTTAATGAATCTAATACATATTTCGAGATTATGAAGTTGAAATTGAAATTTTGCAAAACATTTTTAATGTTTTAAAATATAAAATTAATAATTGGCAACATTTTTAATGTTTGGCAAACATTTTTAATGTTTTAAAATATAAAATTAATAATTTGTATGAATTATAAAGTAAAAAGATTTGCCCTGTAGAATATAATTTAATCTCAAAATCATAAATATATTGTATATTGAATTAACTTTTTTATAGTGATTACACAAAAATTCAAATACAGGATTAAAATATAAATAATCCTACAGGACAAATCTTTAACTGCTCACAAATTAATTGTTAATTTTATATTTTAAAAGGTTAAAAGTGTTTTATGCAATGTCAAATTCATGAATGTCGAAATGTATTAGATTTATTAACTTTTACGTAACTGATTCGTGTAGTTTCTCTTTAATACATTGCGAATAATTTATATTCATATTTTTCATTCGTAAAATTGACTTCATCATTTATTATATATCAAGAGAAGATAAGAAAACTGGTGCTTACGTCACATGTGGTGACGCGATAAATAGCGTGTGATCGATATCGTTATCAACGAAAAAGTCACGAGGGCCATGTGCGACGACCTGAGTGAGTGACTCATATAACAAGCACTTTATTACGCGCGTGTATTTTTCATCCACGGCCTTTATCTGCAACAATGCGATTGTCTCCTTATTTTGTGAAGTATCCTTAGCTATGCTTCTGCGTTACACGAGAGAAGTTTCTCTTTTGTTATGCAATTATTGATATATATCTTTTTTTACCTCGTTTCGTAAATTCAAAGCCGAATTTTCGTTTCAAATCCGTCGTTTGGAAACAATAATATAATATTATAAATGTAATTTTATATTTGTTTAATAATATAATATTTTATTTCATTTGTTTAATAATATAATATTATATATATAAATATAATATTTGGAACTAAATACAATATTTCTTGATGCATTCTAAATGAATTGGAATATCGTAGTTGTTAGCTATTATGAACGATTATGTAAGTGTACGTCAATTAATATATTATATGTCTTGTCACGTTCCGTTTACTTTTTTGATAAAATCGATCCTCCTTGACATGAAAAAAATAAGGAAAGTCATTTTGTTTCCACAATTTTCAATATATTTTTGTTAATTACATTTCTAATGTGCAGATTCTAAAAATTAAAAAGCGAAATTTATTTAAAAAAATTAATTGATGGTATAGTTTAATTATAGCATAATGGATTCCTCAATTAATAATTCCTATATAATTATATAATTGATTTCCTGCTTTATTTCACACTTTTTTTAAGGAAAATATCGCATGCGTGCGTTTCTTTTTTCACGTTCCAGAAAATTGGAGTAGATAATTAGATTTTAAGGAAAAAAAAACATGGTTTCCTTCTTCAAATCAATAGTTTATATATTTTCTACGAATTAATCAAGGTGAATTATTCGTGAATTATGTGGAGACCTGACGAATATAAAGCGTTGCAAGATTCGAATTGACATTTCGATGTCTTCAATCTAATCACAAATAATGTACTTAATGATTCCTTAAAGTGATACCATGCGAATTGTTGATTTCGCAATAGATAATCTATTACGATAACAGTTCTTTCTCGACATAGGAGAACGTAAATTTATTGCAATATTTCTAAGAACAGCGCAATTAGCGAGTATTACAAGAATGTTCGTAGAAGAATGCTTGCTCTCTCGCGAGGAATGCCACAGACGATCTCGATTAATTAATTCTGGCTCATATTTCTTTGTCCCTTCCTAGTTCACAGCTCTAATCACAAGACACAGAATGTTGCAAAACAATCACATACTTCTGAATCAGAATGTTATATGTTGATGTAAGGAGAATATCTTTTTCAATAAATAGAAGGCAATATCTTTTCCAATATCGAGAAGATGTTTTTTCTTAAACGCTAAAAAATTTTGACGAACAAATATGTTATACGATTAATAAACAATTAAAATATGAAAGATAAATAAATTATTATATATATGTATATATATTAATTAATGATTCATTTATAAATGAATACATAAAGTAATGAATAATTTATGTATGATTTTTTATTTTTCTGAGAATAAATTATTATAACATTTAATAATTATTATAATTATTTTTCTTCTTAAATTAATTTAGAAAACCATTTTAATAATTAATAATTAATAATTTAGAATTAAACTTTATTTTGGATGCTTTTTATATCTTGGGTTTTTATTACTAGCTACTTAATATCAAAAATTAGAACAATATAACAAAATAATATCAAATAAAAATAGAGAATATTTGTCATGTATTATATTAATATAATATAATTAAAATATTATTAAAAAAGTTTTGAAGTATTTTTATGATTATTATCTTTTCATTTCTCTATTTAATTTGAAATATTTAAATAATACACATCAAATGAGGACACAAGTGGATATACAGGGCAGAGATTATTGACTGCGTTCTTTATCTTATACTTGTCATAATACCAATTACTGCTTAATAAGAACTAATTTATATACTGCGTATTGTGTGTATTGCTCATCATGTCTTTTCATTCGGCTTACCAAAGGAAACAACTAATTAATTAAGTCACAGTCGCAGTCACAATAGACTATTTTACTTTACACATGATTCCAGCATTATTATTCTCTCGTTTATCAGATTCGCGTTTATCGAAAAATTTTATGTCACTGAGAATAAAACTTCAGTAAGAATTTATTCGAAAATTCCATGTGTTTAGAATAAATATGTAAAATATATGCTGAGTTTATTTTATTGTTAGATTTATTTTTTAGAGATAAAAACATGACATTAAATAATGATCGTAAAATTAATCAATTCTTTTTTCTTAATTTTATATCTTAAGTAATGATCAACAAATTAATTGATTCTTTTCTTTATCTTAATCTTTTTTTTTATTATATGAGTGATTGATGAGAATTGTGTGCGTGAATGCGAACACAATTATATAATATCGTTACACAATCAACGTGAACTCATTTTCGATCATTGACTATCTTTCAGATGACTTTATCATAGCTTCGCGTATAAAGATAATAATGTAACAATTATTATTTTAGCATTTTGTTACTTATTGCAATAAATAACATATATATGTATATATATATATATATATATATATATATATATATATATATATATACATACATACACACTTACATACAGGGTGTTTTAAAAAGGTATATCAAAAATTTAAGGAGATATTCTTCACACCTGAAGGATGAAAAAATGTTATATGGACATAGGTGCAGAAATGCTTATTTCAGAAGTTATGTTGAAAATACTGTTAGCTGTATTACTTACACAAGGAAAAATTTAGAATTAATTATTGTAGACAATCGTTTAATTAGGCTTATTTACATTAGGTTTTAATGTGACCTTGAGTATGTTACAATAAATGTTGAAAATGTTTATGCATTTTATTGCATTTTTTTTAATACAAGCAGTGACACGCATCGATTCACGGACACGTAAAAAATGCCCGGCGTACAGCGGATTGTCTCGCAACCTGCAGTGTCACGAAGATCTTGAATATCACACATTGGTGACATTTTTGAACGTGTCTGATGCGTCGACGTATCACTGCTTGTATTCAGGAAAATGGTGAACATTTTCAACATTTATTGTAATATACTCACATTAAAACCAAATGTAAATAAGCCTAATTAAACGATTGTCGTCTACAATAATTAATCCTAAATTTTTCCTTGTGTAAGTAATACAGCTAACAGTATTTCCAACATAACTCCTGAAATAGACATTTCCGCACCTATGTCTATATAACACCTATGTCTATATAACATTTTTTCGTTCTTCAGATGTGAAGAATATCTCCTTAAATTTTTGAGATACCTTTTTAGAACACCCTGTATATATATATATATATATATATATATATATATATATATATATATATATGATGTGATCGTTTGATACATTAGTGTACTTCCTTGGAAAATTTACATTGAATTAAAAATTTATTATAAAAATCTATTTAAAAAAATTAAGGCAAGTAATGTACTCTATTTACTCTTTTATCGTATTCAATTGATCAATATTGTAATTAATGTTTCGATATTTAGATAATTATTAGAAAAATTATTTTATCTCTAAACATTTCTTATTTTACAACGATGACGTTAATGCACATCAATGAATCACATGATTAATTCATGATAATATCATGTTGAGCATTGAAAAAATTTAGCATTCTAATTTAACAGAACTATGAGATACTTATTCGAATGATGAAATAATACAACATTTTAAAAGATATCTAAACTTAAAAGTCGTCAGACTTGTCAAAATCGATAAATAAGTTTAACTATATCCACGATTATACTATCGACATTTATGTAAAGCTGAGATTAATAAATAAATCATTTTTTTTTACTCTATCGACATTTGTGAATTTTGCACTCTTTTTCATATTTTTTACATATGCATAAGTAATGAACCATATTTATTACTTATGCATATATATATGTACATACATATATGTTGTTGATTTTACGTATCGCTCTATATAGATTTATAGATAATATATTTTATAATAATTTAATAAATTCAGGAATGTTATAATATTTACAGATTAATGTTTTTATCAAAGCGTAAACAACTGTTAAGCTGCAAGATATAGAACTTATCACAAAGCTTTCAAATGCTTAGCAGTTTCATCAAGCTTTTATCATAACATACAAGTAGAAAATTTAATAAAAAAAAAAGATGTAATTATACAACGCTCTTATTATATCTCTATCTTTTAAAATGTAACAAGCAAAAAAATATTTTTTTAATATGCAAGTAAATGTTGCAATATGATAATAACAGAATGTCTTTTTTTTCTAGACTTACGATAATTTTGCATTCCATAAGGAATTATATCTCGTATATTAATCTCGTATCCTGTTAATCGTCTTAGGTTCGCGGAAAGGGTAGTTGATTGTATGGTTGTTGATTGTTGCATTAAATTTGAGTCGTTGAATGTGATGACGAATATATTACGGCGCGTGAAATCCTACGCCTCGTGCGACTTGCGATTCTCTAAATTTTCCATTCTCTTCTCGCCCTCCCCTTCGCGCCTGTAGGCTTGGCAAGGTCGAGACTTGGACGGTTAAACGAACAGAGACGGACTCAAATTCGAAGATTCGACATGTTCGTATATACATATGTACGTGGTGACGAAAATTACGAGAGGTAATTTGCCTTGGCATTGATGTTCACGAATATTCATCTATATTCGTTCGCGTTACAAAATAAAAAAAAAGAGTATAACACAAAAACATGAAGTGCATAAAATGATAAAAGAAACGAGAATGATCTTAGAAAGTAATTTCTTGATCTTTTTCATCATAGCAGCCGTTTTTCTCGTTTTTATTTATATGTTTTTTGCAGAGCAGTGAAATTTAAAGAGATATAAAATTTTTAAACAATTTTTATTGCTTTTTAATCTCTTTTTTAGAAACAAAGAAAGTCTATGTAGGAAAGTTACTGCAGTCTGTAGTATCTTTTTGCTCCATTTGCGAGAGAGAGGGAGAAGAGCTTCTTAGAAATGTGATGTAAATTACACTAAACATTACAAACTATACTAAATGCTATATATTGCGATAATAAAAATGACATGGTAAGAAATTACATATAACTTTAGTTTTATACTTCTTCGCAAGTTTAAAAATAAAGTTATTATATGTAATTTTTTCATGAAAACTACCATTTTGAATATGAAAACAGTAAAACAGTTTTTTAAAACAAACTTTTTCAATGTTGAAGGCGAAATTAATTTTACTAAAATTTATATACATGTAAAATTTGTTTTTTTTTCAGAATATGAAAATAATACATGTATTTTTTCTTTTGTGCAAATTATCCCCATTACTCGAGAGAATAAATCTAGGAAGTTTTATCTAGTCATCTAATCGATCATCTGATCATTTGACAACACTTTATAGTTTTGATGTCCATTCATAATTGTTTTCTGTTAGTTTTACTCACTCTTATTGTTATCTCTCATAATCAAAAGAGTCGCTGAAGAAGATTTATAAGGCAGTTTTAAAAAATAAACTTCGTTTACGTTTTACTTGATGACAATGATCGGTCTCGAACACGTGAAATAAAATATTTAATTACTTAAAAACATATTTTGAACGAAACGATGATTTATAAGTTTAATTTTTTTTAACAAAATTGTGTGTATTTTTTTAAATTATCTTATTTTCTAGTGAAATTTTGCAATTTTTATATAGAATCTTGACTTATACAAATTCTAGTGTAATTATTTTATATATATGCGTAATTATATACTTTTTTATTAGAAATTACTTTCATATTCTTTTACTTTTATTTTTCTCTACTTTTTATTTTCCTTGCTTTCAAATACTACACACACACACACACACTATAAAAATTACATATTAATCTTACATTCACAGTTAAAGATATTTATCAGCGACCGTAATTATTATATAAATATCTAACAGTGACAAAGCAGATGCAAGATAGTGTTATTTCATATAATATCAATAGTATAACGTAATTTATCTTCTATGTAGTTGACGTAATTATATGTATAAATACGATATTCTTTTTCACATAATTTACCATCATGACGGAATCATCCTATATTTAGTACAAAAATATTAAATAATATAAAATTTGAATAAAATGATTATAATATTTGTGACCGAATATACTTTCCACCGAATGATTATAATATTTTTGATCGAATACTTCTGCTTGTTCCTTCACGAGTCTTAAACAAAAAAAACAGTGCTACAGTTCTATGTTATTGTACCGAGGAAACGTTAGTACGTCCTTATTTTGGTCATGTACGTAGGAACAAAAAAAAGGTAGACATTGTCCGTGAAAGAAAGAGAGAGGAAAGGAAAAGAAAAGAGATCAACCGTGGACCACTGTGGTAGTCGACCGTTGTATTATACGTACTAATAGAGTGGGGATATGCGTTTTATCGATAAAAGAGAAGGCGAGCCGACTTCCTTCGAGTTACACGCGCATATGACATGAAGCAGTCGCGCGACTGAAAGAGCGAGCGAGAGAGAGCTACGGTATTGGCGCGCGCATGCGCGCTGGAGAGCGCGACGTGGAGGGGATGGGAGTCTGCGGCGGCGCGAGCGGCAGTGGGGGAGGGATGCGGGCGGAGAGGAGACGCTAGACGCCCCTGCATCATGACACACAGCTGATCAGTCGGCTCGCGGCGCACGTATGTTGCGAGCGCGTAGATAGATAGTAGGCGCGTTATACGCGGGGGAACGGAATGACGGCATTGTGACGGCGAGCGGCGGGGTTCATGTACGTATACCGGTGTCGCTACGCGTTCTCTATGCGTCTGGACAACGACGAGGACGACGAAGACGGCGAGGTAGTCGGTAGTCAGCTCGGGTCGAGGTATCATTGCGACGGGACGGTCGTTCGGCGAGACCGAAAGAGGAACGGAACGGCCCGGTCGATCGACGAAACGACGGGGTCTATGACTGAAACGGCGGCGGATGGTTGCGGAAAAGAAGGAAACTGGAGGAAACAGGAGGAAACAGGAGGACCGACGACGCCGTCGCTCTGGCACGCTCAGGTTCCTGATACAAGCTCGCGGGCATTTCGAGAGAGCGCAGGACGCCGTTCGTATCATTGTTGTACGTGTCTCCCCGCGGTCGCGGTATCTACGTAATCTATCTATCTACTTATCTACACCGCGGATGAATATTCATCCGGAGCGCGCGCGCAACGAGTGATAAAGAGCCCGGAGATCACGGCGAAAGGGCAGAGATAGATATCCAGAATAGAATCAGGAAGGAAGGAAACCGCGACGGCTATTGCCCTCTTCTCCTGTCCTCTTTCTTCTCATCTTTAAGTCTCTGCTTCTCTCTCTCCGATATCTTTTCGTTTTGCATTTAACTCTCGCGCTACTGTTGATAGCACACATATACACGTGTATTTTATATATACATATATATATATATATCTGGTGGTGTGATCGGTCCCCGCGTTTTTATCTCTACCAGCTGTGTGTATGGACGACCGCGTGTGTGTTTTTTCGTGTGTATGGTACGCGCGCACGAGTCGCGAATAAAGGTCGATGACGATGCAACGAGTTCAAGATCAGGACAATGGGATCAACATCAAATTCGGCTCGGGTAAATCCCGAAAGGGCGACTACCGGCTGGTATCTCAGGACTCTGACAACAATAAAGATCGCCTAAATGGGACCAATAAATCAGGTGAGCTATGCGGAGAAGTTATTCAATACACGTTTGGAAAAAACACGAATCCCGTTGATTCTGTCTTCGATATTTAGAAAATTGTTTCCTTAAGAAATTAAAAAAAACTTTACATTTTCCAATATTTATAGAGTTTTATAAATCCAATACCGATCTTTGCAAACTACTTTTTTACGGTTTTTCACATATAAATGTGAAAATTGCTAAATACGCGTAAATTATATACGATTTACAAGAGTTCAAATAAAAACGTCAAAATTGCGAAAATTTTCGAAAAGAAACATCTGTTAATTCACTAGTGTTATTGCAAGTGACGTCACTGATACATACAATGACGAAGACATTAATAAATATTGAGTTTGCTCTCTCATTGTTTTAAAAAGGATCGCTTCCTGTTTTATCTTCTTATATCCTCTTTTATCTTTAGCATAACAGTTCTGTTAATGCTAGCTGAAATTACTGATAACCTCGGTACGTTACTAATTCCAGCTGGTATTAACAAAAATCATTAGCATGTTGTCTCTCCGCCTATGTTAGATATTTGTATGTTTCGTCTTTCAATTTTTCTAGAAAAAATACATAATGAGATAATAAATATTAATGATAAGTATTACACTATGATTATATATTTTTACTGTGTTTTTCTGCATATGTGTAACAGAAAATATTTCTCATGATTGTTGATAAAAAAATATGATACAGGAAAAAGTTGAAGGCTGCAAAACTAAAGCTCTAATTTTTTATAACGCTAATTTTTCCGCAACAATGCACTTACAATTACATGTTTAGAACTGGAATATATATGTAAAATTTGTTTTATACATATATATATATATATATATATATATATATATATATATATAATAAATTTCTGATTTCTTTTATATCGCACATTTTACAAATAAAATATTAAACTTATAGAATAAGTATAAATGTATTATTATAGTATGTACTTTTTTTATGATGTATTATATATATTTTCTAATATATTTGAACATAACAATAAGAAATATTTATTTTTCGATAAGTGATTTAGTATTTTTTGTAACAGAAAATGACAGAAAATAATCAATGTAATGCAAAAAGAAACGAATAATTTCATTCAAAAAAAGCACTATTGCACATTGTAGTGGAAAAAGTAATTTCAAAAAATCTTTCTATTAGCTATTGTTTTCTGTTGTGTGAGATACTTCCTATAGAAATTTCTAGAAAAGAAAATTAATCATTGAATTCTAAATATTCTTTTTCACTTTAAAAAAAAATACATATAGTTTATATCGATAAATAATATTTGAAAAAATCAACCTTTTTAAAAAGACTGATTAATGAATTATAATTATTATATTAAACACAAACTGCGTTTTTGAAATCAGCAGAAGAATAAAAAACACGCGAAAATATATTTATTAAATTTCAAAATATTAGAAAGATATTCCAAATTGATATACAGGGTGTTTCATTTTAATCCGACCACCTAAATTTCTCGGAACCTAAGCAAGATAGAGAAAAATGTTTTAGACAAAAGTTGTATGGTTTCAAGGGGGACATAAGATGGTGTCATTAGTTTGATCTTGAAGAGCCACCTGAAGGACACGCGAAGATCAGCTCCAACTTTTTAAATGGGACACCCTATATGCTTTTGCATATTCTTGTAGCTCATCTCAAGAGCTTTCCAAAACACTATAATTAAGTTAGTTTTCATTAAATACTTTCCAAGTTATGAGGCTTGAAATCATTTTTTAATTTTACATAAACCGTAAAATATCTTGTAAAATATTCATTTTTCGATTATTTTACCTTAATACTTTTATGTACAAAATAATGAGAAGAATCAATTGGTCTAAAGAAAACTCATAGTTGTTTCGAAAAAAAATATGTAATTTGCAATTAACAATTACATATTTTTTTTTTTAAATAACTATGTCTTCCGAGAAATTTAGGTGGTCGGATTAAAATGAAACACCCTGTATAATGTTCGACATGTGTTTTGCACCCTTATCTCTTATCGGAATACAATGATAATATTTATCTTTTTCCTGTTTTGTATTATCATTATTTCTAATTTTTATGTTTTCGTAATTTACACTATGTTTATAGATCTTGTTTTTATTATTATCCTTTATCTTTTTCCGTTTTACACCTTATCTTCCATTCGAATCGTTATTTTATAGATAGAACTTTTATAAATAGAAAGGTTAAATATATAAAAGACGGGCCTATGAGCCAAGAAGCAAATTGGGTAAAATCGACACAAACGATTAAAATGCGTTAAGCAAAAAGCTTGCCAATATTTCGTTGTAAAATTGTTCAGCCTCGCTAGTTACAATTCATTCAGTTAAATGTACAATGTTTACAACAATTTCTTTCAGTGAAATGTATGAATTCATTAAAAAACGTACAAAGATATACAATTACAATAATGTTAAATTATTTTTAAAAATTTAGAATTTTCCTCCTCGTCCGTTTTGTTTTAATTTTTCTCAACATATTTAATGATATTTTAAATCTTTATAAATAATAGAAAATAGAATAAATAAATAGAAAAAATATTTTTTTTAAATTTTGTGTAATTAAATTTTGTATATGTGGAACAGAAAATAATTTACATACATTAGCATAACAAATGTTTATTTCTGTTATAAAAGAAAATATTTGAATAAACAGTTAATAATTTTTCAGGTATTTTAATAGAGGAATAAAATCAAACTAAATCTTTTTCTTTGTAGAAAAGAAGAGCATATCAAGGAAGAGAAAAGATTTGTTTGATCAAAATTCGATTATGCCAATTGGATTCCTGTCGATCGCTTATAATTCAAACCCATTGTTTGAATGTCCGTATAAATAAAAGCAAGTCAGAATTCATGTCACAACGGAAACGACTTCCGTATGTGAGGCGATCAGTATCGGTATTACAATGTTGCATACTAATGATGCCTCTCTCTTTGTCGGTGACGGGGAAAATTGCAACTTTTCCTTTGTCTACGCATACGGGCAGCACGTACAAGACAGATATCTATTTTATCCTTCCTCCCCTAACACATGAACCAGCGATTTCTATATTCGTTACATGATGTTAACGAATACTTGGGATATGTTGAGCGTCTTGTTAAACGTAGTGAGAATTTCAAGATTTTTTATCACTCTCTGTTTTTTTTTCAAGCAGAATAACTATCCATTCCGCGCAGTCATTTATTTTTTATTAAAAAAATTTCTTTTTGTAAAAAGTATCTCTTTTAATAAATGAATATATCTTTTGCACTAATATAATTTTTTTAGAAGATCTTTACGAAAGAATTAAAATATACGTTGCACGAATTGTGCAATATTTCAGCTATATTATTTGGTATACTTACAAAATTACGTTTTTCAAATTTAATATATTCTAACATTTTTGCTTTTAAATTTATTGTACCTAAGAATGTGCATCTGAGCACTTTGTACGCGCGTACACATTTAAGCATCGAATATAATATTCTCTTTGTCTCTAATTGTGAGTCTCAAAGTCTCTCCTACTGTTCATAATTCATTAGCATATCAATTTCCATCTGATTACCTTTACGAATCTGTCTAATTATCGTCATATAACATGTCAGAAAAATATGTTTCTCGTAAAATGTACATTAAAAAAATATTTGTTATTATATACTTGTTTAATTAGGTTTTTCGCGAATTGGTTACGTAATCAAATTACAAAATCATATTATTCAACCACGTTATCTTTCCTGTATTTTGTTTGTTAAATCATTATCTTATTTTGTCAAATTGTTACAACTGTGCATTAAACAATTCGCTATAAAAACAAATTAAGGAATTGAATAAGAACAGAAAGAATTGAGTATTATATTTAATGTCTTTTCCATCATTTTGCTTTATATCTGTTCCAATAAATTCATAAAAATCTTTTTTTTCTGTCAGTTTTTAAATAAAAAACAATGATAGATTTTTTGTCACGTAAATGAAACCCAAGAAATATTAGGCATTTTTCAATATAATATTTCAATAATAATGCTAAGAAATATGCAAAGTTTGCAAACTATGTGCTATTGATTATGAAAGCAAATCTTCTTCTCTTCATGATATTTTTTTATCTCTTTGTCTTTTAATTTGATTTTATATAAGAGATTTGTTTTATTAAAAACTAGCAGATGAGAGCATCATCTTCTAGTCTTTGATAAAACAAATCTCTTATATAAAGTCAAATTAAAAGACAAAAAGATAAAAAAATATCATGGGGAGAAGAAGATAACGTCGTTATTTTAGGTGATGTTACTTTATTACATAAACGACATAAAAATTCGCAACAAAATTAATAAAAAATTTCTCAAACATGTTTTATCCTCGTTGCAGAGAAAGAAGAAAAGATAGAGGAGGAGTTAATCCCACCGGATGGAGGCTGGGGATGGTTAGTACTTTTAGCCTCTGTCATGGTTAATCTTCTCATCCCTGGTACTATAAAGTCCTTTGGAGTATTGTTCGTCGAATTTCTCGATGTATTTAATGCGTCACCAGCAGCAGCTGCGTGGATACCATCACTCTGTTATTTTCTATATAGTTCGCTGGGTAAGAATTATTGTTATGTATAATGTATTGTATCATATCGATAAACATTTTTCGAAAACGTATCCATAGCTTTTAAGCATCTTTGCTAAATCGGATTCTGTTGAAAATTTTATTTTTTCTATAATTGTATTATTTTTTCACGTTTAAATGTTACAATTCACGATTAAATATTTAGAAATGACTTCATCTTGATTTTGTTATTTGTTTGCTTTATCAAAATTTCAAAACTCCGAACCATGTATTTTTACATCAATTCGATTATACAATATAATTTTATGATAATATATGAAATTAATATAAGTATTATATGAAAAAAATTTAAAATCATCAGAATATTAATTTATGCGTGACATGACATAAATACAGATTTTATATTTCGGTAAAGATAGCAAGCAGTTCACGATAGTATGGACTTTGAAACACGGAAAGATTCGCTTGCGCTTATTGTTTACATGTAGTTTCCAGTATATTATGAATCATATCGATGTATTCGAGCAAACAAATTAAGAATCAGTAAGAATAAATAAATTGTTTACGCGTATTATAATGTTATTTGACATGTGAATTTTAATCATTGACAATCTCTTCAAGAATTAGAAACCGATGAAATCATGATAAATTCAATGAAAATTAAAAAAAGTACAGCTGCACGAATAATTTCTAAGTAAACATGATTGTTCTTATTTGCATCAATTTAGCAGTATCTTATCATTCCAGGCCCATTCTCTAGCATACTTTCGGTCAAGTATTCTTATCGTACGGTAACTCTAATAGGGGGGACATTTGCCGCGGTGGGGATGATGCTAAGCTATTTCGCGGACTCTGTGGCCTTTCTATGCGTAAGGTAAATTTTCTTCCTTTTAAAATGTAAAATAGAATGATATTAATTGATCATTATATCTTGCGCAACAAATATCTTTGAACAAATAATAAATATCACATCTTGCTTTAAAAAAATAAAGAAATAAGAGAATTTGTTCATAGTTATATACGAAAGCGAAATTCATAAAAGTAAATTTTTCAAGTAAATATTATTGTAGTATTAAACTTTTGATTGAAAAGAAATGATGAACAATTAAAACAAATATATTTTCTCCATTGATTGAAATTGAAAATTGCGACGAGAACTTTTGTCTTTTGTAAAATATATTCCTCAAATATAAAATAACTGCATATGAGCAAAATTATTTTCAACTTGTATATTTTTATATATGTTTAAATATTTTATATATATTTAAATAATTATTTTTATATATGTTTAAATAATGTGATTTAGGAAAAAAATAACATTGATTTTTATAATATTGATATTATAATTAATATTGATATTATAATTTAATTATATGCATTTACTGCGAAAGTTTTATAAAAAAAAATTACAAGAAAACTTGTTAAAAACAATTGCAGCAAAAATTTGAAAATTATAAAGATGAAATGCAAATATATGAGCGAATCTGTTTAGTAAATAAAGGTTAACGACGGCATACAAAATATTTAAATATTTAAATATATTAAATATACAAGAGAAATTTTAAAACTCAACATATCGATTTCTTTTTTAATCAATTCATATAGATATAGTCTTTTTAAAATATTCATTGCGTAAATATTATTATGTAATAGGTCAATATTTCTTATGTAATTTCCCTTGTTTCCAGTTATGGTGTACTAGTAGGTACGGGAGCGGGATTAGCGTTTCCCCCAACTGTATATATCGTGACGTCTTATTTTGTACGGCGACGAGGACTTGCCAATGGACTCTGCATATCCGGCAGTGCGTTAGGCTCAATATTTCTTCCACCCGTTTTGGGTTTTCTTTTACGAGAATATGGTTATAGGTGAGCTTCTTTGTTATTTATTTAAATCAATCATACAAATATCCGACAAATGCTGTAGAAATAAAAATATAAGATATATTGCGTGTTATAATTTTTATACAATAATAGTTCTATTACATTGATAGTCAACTGTATTAACAATGATGAAAATCTACAATTGTCATTACTTGTTAAAATGTTAACAGGTGATAATCGATATATTTTTCATTTGTTCGCAGAGGCGCAGTATTAATAATGGGTGCTGTCACATTAAATGTGTGGGCGAGCGCACTTCTGTATCACCCCGTGGAATGGCATATGGTACCAGCTCGGTCTCCGGGTGACAATGATGAATGCGACGATAGGGAAATCGTCAATAGCAGCCCGGAGCAAATGACCGAGAAGAGCAATAGCCAACTGCTATCGTCGAACTCAACGAGCGAGAAGGCCGCGCCGATCGTACCGAAAAGTGCGTCAAGCGTTGCGTTAGAATATTACAAGAATACACCAGTGCAGAGTCGCACGCGAAAGATCAGCGTACCTGTCGGACGCGAGATCAGCGGCCAGATGCACAGCACGCCGACGTTGCACGCTGTGCCAGAAGGGTGTAGCGCCGTGACCGATTCCGGCAAATACTCTAGGACATCCGCGAAATCACCGATGAACTCGCCCAGCACATCGTCCTTCAATTACGTCAGTACACCGTATCACGGTAGCACTCTATCGGTCCTGCATCCGGAACGTGCATCTACATTGACGCTAAACGCTATTTCTAGTACATTCACTAGAAAATCAACGACGATCAGTGGGGAACAAAAGCGGTATGAGGACGACGAAAAAAGCCAACAGAACAAATTTTTCGATCTCAGTCTGCTCAAGGATCCTATTTATCTCGTTATTCTTATTTCCAACTCTACCAATGCCATCAGCTACACCAACTTTGTCATTTTGCTACCGGCCTACGCCATTTCTCTGGGTTTCGAGAACTGGGACGCGTCATTGCTGTTGTCAATCGTCTCTATGCTTGACTTGGTGGGCCGCATCGGTGGCTCCGCCCTTTCCGATATTAAAATTATGCCTAAACATTGGTATTTCGTTGGCGGTCTACTTGCTTCTGGCGTTTCTTTGGCCATTTTACCCACTTCCAATTCGTATATTATGCTGTCCGTTTATTGCTCCTTTTTTGGTCTTGCGTCCGGTGTCTATGTTGGTATCACCGCCGTTATCATGGCCGACATGCTGGGAACCGAGAAGCTCACCTCGTCTTACGGTATTTCGTTATTCGTCAACGGTGTTATTCAACTGGTAGGGCCACCCATTTGCGGCATAGTGTACGAACAAATCGGCAGCTACGGACCGATCTTCAGTATACTTGGCATTATTCTGGTATTTGGCGCGTCTCTTTGGGGTATTGTCCCATTCATTCGACGAAGACAGGCAGCGTTAGAGAAATCCGCCAAAATAGATAAAGTATAGTAGACTAAATAAACACAAAGTAAAATATGACAGTTGTCCATCATTAATACTGGACACTCTTTTCGTAATTTTACATTTTAAAATCTGAATTTTAAATTCATATTATTATATACATAATAAAAAATTTCTTATTTTCAAGTTTTAAAATGCAAAATTATGAAAGGGCAATTATATATAAATGAGTCGCGAAATATGACTCGTTATTATTTAAAGGCACATATGAGCTTATTATTCTCGCGATTGCTTAAAGGTGGCCATGTATATGTATGCATGTATATAAGAAATAGAAAGAGAAAAAGAAAGAGAGCGAGAACATGGCCGACATTAAACTGTGATGTTAGTATGAATGTTATGTATCGAAGCTATACTGGCGAAGTTTTTGGATCGAGCAAAATTTTGAGATTTTGCTTAATCCGATAGTTTTTCGCATCAATTGTCTACGACGTATGATTGTATGACTGTCGAATAATATTAATTATAGTACATATAATTGATCGCCAAATAGAACAGTAAAAAAATCTTATTGTACCAAATACCAAATTTATCTTTTAGTTATCTTGAATAATAACTAAAAGTTGTATGTAATTAATTGTTATAAATTGTTAATTTCAAGTCTATATTTCATTGTATAGCATTACATTTTTCATTAGTGAATTAACTGGTAAAAGTGATATGATATAATAATATTTCGCCTTTATCAGTAATTTTGAATATTACATGCACAGAGCAAGTTAATTCTATTATATGGAAATTTTTTGTTTTCTTGTAATATAAAACGAAATGTTGTGTATATGCATTGTTACACTCTTGAAGATAATTATAAGACAAAAATGTCATGTAGAATATTGTTTACAAGATATAAAATCTAATTTTTTAGTGAAAATTTAATTTATTAAAATATTAAAATCTAAGATCGAAACAAGTACGAAAATATAATAAAATGCATTTACATTTAGTTTATAATAAAATGTTTGTACTTATAGTGATAAAATAGAGTAAAGAAGTACTTAGAAGTGAGAGGGAGAAGTACTTAAGATGATAAAACTGTAAGAAGTTTGCAAATAATAATAAGTTTCTTTTCGTATTTTTAAGAAGAAAATTGATAAAAGATACGTATCATTTTTTGAAAATTATAAGAAATATATACACATCAATCAACGATCCGTTTTAAATTACAAGAAACTGAAAAGTTTCAACTAACGAAATCAATTTCACTCTGTATCAGCGATATCAAATTCCGATTTGATCACACTTACCGCCAAGTATACGCTCTTGTATCGATGAGGTAACGCATAATGCGACCTCACGCATCGCATAGTCCATTTTTAACTATAAAGCGTATTATTTAGGGAAATAATTTTTGAGAAAAAAACTTTTTAGAGAAATGTGCGATTGGTTCCTTTCTCGGAAGCAGAAAGAAAATATATCTCTTGCCTTATAACCGAAGAAAAAAAATTATTCTCTCTTTGAAAGTAAAAGTTTTGCATTGGCACGAAAAAAATATAATTCAATTTTACTTGAATATTTAGTGAAAAAGCAACTGTCACTATTGATACCAGTTGTACATCGGAATAAAAATACGGTGACATAACATAGCACGTATCAAATTTAGTAATAAAGTAAATTGGCACACAATTTTAGATACAGTATCTATCTATTTCTAAAAATTTGATCGCACGTATATAAATGCGATCTTACTAGAATGAGATTAGAAGTGGATTTTACGAAAATTATACTTATTAAATAAAGAATTCTGATATAGGAATTTTGCCATTCTCTCTTTAAATTGAGAATGAATTAATGAAAAGAATCCACAACAAGTGTAAGACTTGTGACCATATAAGATATATCCGGCGAAATGTATGTAGAATGTTCTGCAACAAGTAGGACAGAATTTAAGAAGTGATTTTTCATGATAAAATAAGACAAAAATCAAGATTAAGAAAATTTCGATTTCCTTTTTTAATTATAACATTCACATAAAAACTATATTTTTCTCCTCTACCGCGCTGAATATTGCAAATTTCACATCAGCTGCTATGAAGCAAGCTTTTGTACTTATGTGTGACGAGTCTATTTTGATAACTCTAACTAACACATGCCCAAGATCGATAGAATGCCGTGCTTGATATATCTTTTGCGAATTTTCAAATATTTATGATTAAAAAGGAAGCCTCTATCAAATTCTTAGTGATGATTTTTGTCTTATTTTACCATGAAGAATCATCTCTTAAATTTTGTCCCACTTGTTGCAGAACACCCTGTATATCTTTATAGTATAAAAATATCTTGTGGCAAAAGATTGCGAGTTTTTTTTTTAATTATTAAAAGAACTTCAACTGATCAATCCACTTTTCAAACTTTCGAAATCCGCCGGAAATAATGCCTTACAAGTAGGTCATAAGCAGTTTATAAGTAATATATATATATACACACATATATATTATGTTTATAACTCTATACAAATATATATATATATATATAAAAGAAAAAAATTGCTCCATGATAATATAACACTTTCCTATTAAGTCTATATATTTAAAATTAATTAAACTTCTTTTTTTATTTATATTACAATTTATGCCCATATTATATTTTCTTTCAATTTATATTATAAATAAAAGCATCATCTTCTAAAAATAGGAATAAAATTAATCCAAAATATAAAGAAAATCAATGATCTTGTTAAATAACAAATAATTGGTGAAAGCATAGATAACTAGCTTTGCAATATGTTTTAAAATAAGAAAATACAAGTATTTATACACATTATCCTCTGTATTTTCAGAACAAATCTCTGAATTGAACATTCAGAAATTATTAACAAGAGAAAAGAGGATATTTGTCAATTTAAATTACATTTTATCAATATACATACTTTTTTTTATCAATATACATACTTTATGCCTGCTTTCTTGGACTATATCTAATGATCTAAGTAAAAACAGTTACTTTTCTTTTGAGATAGTTTCAGCAGCTGGTGGAGCTTCTCTGAATTTAGGAAACTGTTCCCATGGAGCGGATAGTTCAAATTTACGAAATTCTTGAGTCAATTCCAATGGTTCAATAACCACTCTTTTTTGCTCATCATCGTAGCGAACCTAAAATAAATCATATTAGAAAAATGTTATAAAAAATTATATAAAATTTAATATAAGCTATAATATAAGAGCTTTAATAAGATATATATAGCTTAATTAATATATAGCTTAATTAAATTATAACAAGTTTTTTTTAATGGGATACAAATTATTGCAAACAAGTCTACAAATCATACAAATTTGTTCATACATTTTATTGATACCATTAAAATCAACTGATATATTGATCTTTTAATAATCACCTCAACATATCCACTGAGTGGAAAGTCTTTCCTTAGCGGATGCCCTTCAAAGCCATAGTCTGTAAGAATCCTGCGAAGATCAGGATGATTCAAGAAAAATATGCCAAACATATCCCATACTTCTCGTTCGTACCAATCAGCAGCTTTGAATACGCTGCAGATGGAATCAATAGGTGTTAACTCATCAGTATATGTTTTTACCCTAATACGTGAATTATAACGCAATGATAACAGGTTGTAGACGAGCTATAAAAATAAATAGATACTAGATAAAGCTCTATTTATATGTCAATTTATATCACATGTTTGTAAAATTTATATATATATATATATATATATATATATATATAAAAATCATATGTATAAATATAAAGCAAAACTCACCTCAAATCTATACTGCCTACTAGGTACATCTAAAGCAGTAATATCTGACAGATTAACAAATTGTGTATTGTGATGGTCTTTCAAAAATGCACATGTAGGGATAATGCCTTCAGGAGCAATAAGTATTTCCAATTCATCACCAGCAGTCAACTGTACTTGTTGTACATATTTTGGTAAGCAATTAGAGATGTAGCGACCAAAATTTACCAAACGAGTGACATCAATGTGATTGGGTTTACGCACCGTGGCTACAAAAATATTTAAGTAAGATAAAACAATGCTGTGTGTTGTGCATTTTATACATATAAGATATTCCATAATTATTTCTTCCACTTTTCTATTAATATCTGCTCCAATTTAAAGGTAGAAATATTTTTTGACAGAAATTGGAATAGAAAAAATTTACTTAAAGTTTACTCAAGAATATCGAATCACATAGTAAATATAAAATTGTACATACGACGAGTCTCGGTTTTTTCAACTTTTTCACTGGTTGTAGTGTTGTATCGTATCGATAATGGAAAAGAGACAGCATAACCTATCGGGCAAACGCACATATTATTACATAATTCGATGGGAAATGTCATTCGATGGTATATTTCATTACTTTTCGGCGTAGCAACTGGTAAACTTCGCGACAGCCTCCAACAGTTTCTAAATATCGATGTCATTTTCGCGCAAGACGTTTCAAATATAATTCTAAATACAATTATCAATGGAACATCATAGTTCCTACCATTTAATTTTTACTTTAGGGTAAAATCAGAAACCTTCTAGGACCCTAGAAATTTTCTATATTGGATAGCCAATCATAACAATGTGCTTGATCAACCAATCAGGATAACGAAAATATAACTTTTTTTTCTTTTAAGAACAGAAATACGACAATTTTTAGATCTTTAAAAAATTAAAGATAATGATAATTATTATATTATAAAAGCAATAATTATTACTTCGATTAAAAAATTTTATTATTAACTTGTAAAGAAAAATTACATAGTTACTGCCTTAGACAAAAAATTAACGCTTTAAAGTATTTGTAAAACTTAATAAATTATCTTTCTTTAATGATAATATATTAAGTCCAATACTATATTTAAAGCTATACAGATATATGTAAATTATATTTTCTCACATACATGTAGAAAAATTTGTGGATTGCAATTACATAGCGAGTTTTAATATTTTTGTATATCTTTTTATATGTTTTAATATATTTGTATCTTAAAGTTTTTTAATAACGAGGTATCACAATTGTCAGCTGGACTGGACAGCTTTGAAAATACTGTGCCGTTCCAAAGCTTGTAATTCGACAAGAATGGTGGCTATAGTATGCCTTAATTGGTGAAATTTTGCCAAAGACAATTCGAATATTACACATTTGCCTGTATTGAAAATCCATTCCATCACAATATTTGGTTCTAGCACTCTATTTATTATACTGCAATTGAATAATAATAATAATCTTTATATATTTATACTGCAATTGAATAATAATAATAATAATCTTTATATATGATCATATTTGATGCAATATAAACATCTTTTTCTAAAATCCAGACTTACTTAGAAGAGATTGTAATATCCACACGCCATCTGCAAGAAATCAATTGTGGATTAAATTTTGTTGTTTGAATTAAACCGGACAAGAGATCCAATCGCTTTGGACCATAAATTACAGAGGCTAAATCTTCTATACAGTCTGGAGTCAATCTGTAATTGATACATAAAAATCAGCTGAGAAATAGTATACGACTGTTATACAAAATAAGTATAAGATTTGGTAAAGTATTTACTTTAATTCTTCCAAACATTGTTTAAATTCTGCAGGCTTGATATCATGACATTGTAAACGTAGATGTACTTTCAAAATTGTAAGAATAGCAGCATAGTATTCATCTACATACTCCTCAGATATGTTATATTTCTTACTTATTCGCTCAAGTACACCTTCTTCTATATGTTCCAATTCTATAGCTTTCACTGCAACTACAATATTTTATGCAATTAATATGTGTACATATATAATACTTTTGTAAATATATGCTATAATTATTGTAAATAATTTCGCAAATTTTAAGCAATATGCAATTTATCGTTTGAATTTTATTGTATTTAATTTAATTATACATTATTTGTTTTAAGCTCACGTTGTATTAATGGACGCGCGAATGTCTTTTTTAATTCTGCCAAATATTTCGTCTTATTTCCTAAAATGCTTAAAAGTTGCGTTTGAAAGGGAGTTGTCATCTTTTATTGACAGTGAAGTAATTTTGACAGATCTTAACTGAACCTAATCTAACCTAACCTAGCCTAACCTCTCTTAACTCGCATTATCCAATGTCCAGTATTGTCATCTATCGAGAATCAAGAAGTACTATTTGAAGCACCCGCTGTTTTCTCGATAGTGTAATAATCGATACTCTCGATATCATCGAAATAGAATTGTTCTATCGACAATTACTGATTTTTAATGAATTCGTTTACAATAAATATTGTATTTAAGTGAGGAGTGGAAATAAGTATTGCTACAGATGAAATGAAATTAAAGATTGCTGATCTCAGGTAAATTTTAGCGAATTTTTAGGTAAAATTGGAGATATTTGAAAAGCATTAATAGTATCGATCGTGCAGAATCCACACAGGAATGCAATTTTGTAGAACTATATAATATTGCGTCATGTGTACATACCGCCTACAAAATACCAGAATTATATATCTGTAGATTTAATATTGCATTACACATAGATTGAATGTCCAGATAAGCTTATTCCGGATCATAAATGACCGATAATGTCAAATCTTTTCTACTACCTCGATATTACAATCACGAAAATCGGAACCGGTCTCATATATAATTGATATATAATTTAATTATACAATATAAAATCTTAACTATAAATATTTGCAAAATTCAAAAAATGTTAAATTTAACATTAAATTTGTCATTTATGACATGAATATATAATTTAATTGCTGATGGTTAAATATCAATAATAATATTATTAAATAAGATGAGTTGTAACTTGCAATGTTGACAGACAACCATATATTTTACGATATAGTCTTATTTTACATTTATATATATAAACCATATCATTTTTTTAGGTTCAATATAAAGGAAGACAATTCGATAAATTTTTTAATATACCCCGTTGGAATGATACCAAGCAGTAGACCGTGTGGCCTAATGGATAAGGCGTCGGACTTCGGATCCGAAGATTGCAGGTTCGAGTCCTGTCACGGTCGTAGACCCTTATTTTTTTTCCTTCGATACGTGAAATATACTGTAAGTCCTTCTGTACATACATATATTTTATTGAAATTCTTTTGGTTCGTTTTATTTAATTTTTTCATTATAATGTAATGTCTTCCTGGATGTAAAGTCGAGACTAAAAATTTACAATACACAAGAGTAATCTAATTCCTCTTAAAAATTTATTAATTGTTTCAAATTAAATTAATGTAAATTTTAAATCTCTTATAAAATTTATTATCTCTCAAATTTTTAAGTAAATAAGATAAATAATATATTTTACTCTACCTCTCTCTTTCTCTCTTTCTCTCTCTCTGAATTTTTTTTATTGTTAAATTGTTATATTATATATTATATATTATGTGTTTACTGTGCACATTTTATAAAAATTTTATATAATTTATTCTCTCTTAATTGAAGAGATGCTGCTCCGATTTTTCAGAATGAGATTTTTTGAAATGAGCGATATATTCGAGACGTTTCTTTGTATAATGATATAATCAGCGATATGTATATATATACTTGTGGATGTTTTATGTAAAGTAATATGAGAAGGGCGTTCACATGTGTAGGTATACTGATAACATTATCAGGAAATGTCGAGAGTTTCCCGAAACATAATTCATTGCTCTTAAACATTCCTAATTAAATGTCCCATGTACAGTGTCATTGTAATTCATTTATTACATGAAATTGTCGATTATATTGCGTTTATAACTTATAGATTATGAAGTGTGTAGGCGACATTTGATCGACACAAATTATATAGCTTTTAACCTTTCTATTACCAAGAAGGATGACAAAATTACTCTAGAGTTAATCATTTCGCAGTAGAAAAGTTAATAATCTTTAATTATAATTTTCTTTCTATAAAAAGGCGTTAAATAATTGAATTTTTACATTAATTTTTGCGAATGATTTATATAACATACATTCTCAATACTGTTATTAATTAAATATATATAGATATAATATAGCATTTAATAGTAAAATTATTAATAAATGTATAGTGACTCTTTTTATAATATTTAATTATTTAAAAGTTTTAAATTAATAACGTTGATTATGATCTACAAGTATGATCTGTTCGGTACAAGGATCAAGCAAGAACCTTCGATAGCTCAGTTGGTAGAGCGGTGGACTGTAGTTGGCATGAGTTACACGAAGACATCCATAGGTCGCTGGTTCAAATCCGGCTCGAAGGAGTTTTTTTTTGTATAATTTTTTAGTTTTTTATTTTGTTTTGGAACACATTCTATTTTCTAAAACATATATATTTAAAATATAACATTTTAAAACATATCATTCAAATATAATATTATAATGTTTGACGAGATCTTGTGTTTGTGTAAATAAAAAAATTTTTTATTTACATAAAATATTATATTAAAAATACATAATATGCACACAGAGTACGCACAAAAAATGTATATGAAATGTATATGAGACTCTCTCTTTCTCTTTCTTTCTCTCTCGCTCTCTTTCTCTCTCTCTCTCTCTCTCTCTCTCTCTCTCTCTCTCTCTTTCTTTCTATGCAATACAAGATTTAATTATTGATTAACTTATTACATTCTCTCTTGAAATAAAATATATTTTTTTGAAATTTATTTGTATGAAATTTACTCTTTTCAATATAATTAAATAATTTAATTTTAGATTATATAGGTTCTAGTCTTTTAGATTTTATTTTTTTTTGCTTAGATTATATGCTTAGTTTCTTGATTTTTTGATTGAATAAACATGTTTATTATGTTAAGTTATGATAAAACATTATATTGTCATATTTATAGTCAGCCACATTGTTTGCAAAATATTTGTTTGCAGATAATCTTACGAACACAAACAGGGAGACTAAAAATAGTCTCCCATTTATCATTTATACTACAATTGTATGAAGGGTGATTTCATATAGTATACCATATGTTCTTAACTCTATGCTTCCTCTTAAAAAAAGAGCGATCATAATCAAAAATAAAAGTTGAAAAACTCTTAGTCATGTTGATAATAAGAAAGACTAAAAGCAATAGACTTTACTAAATATATATATAATATAAAGTAAAAAATATTTTACGTCTTATATATTTTGAATACAAATTATATAAAATATATATTATAAAAAAAATTTCACATTTATAAAATATAAATACTAAATATTCGAAATGCAGTTTAGAAAACAATTCTTTCTTTGTTTTAAAACATTTATGCCATTTAATACATTATAATTATTTGATTTATGTTATAATTATTATTATTATTTTTTATCATTTATACATTTATTTATATATCTATTTAGACTCTCTCTAAAATATAAAAGATATATATATATATATATATATATATATACATACATATATAAAGCTAGGTTTAGAAAAAGCATATAAAAAAATTTTTATAAATTTTTTTGATTGTAATAGAGAGAATTGAAGAATTGAAGAACTATAATAAGGAGAAAGAATGTCTTTCATGTTTCGTTACGAGATTAATAGTTTGTTTTCGGAATTGTAAATAGGATGAGGGTTTCCCTAAATTTTTCGTCACATTTTTGGTGTGTCACCCATTGATTCATGTGGTGCGTATCCATTTATCTGATTCGGAGATCGGAACCTGGCGAGGGTGCGCCGCTCCTTTTTGTCTAATCAGAGCAAAGTGAATTAGCCCTAGCACCGCGCCTAAATATTGTTCGCATAAGCTTTTAAATTCTTCCTCAGATAAGTCTGACCTAGACAAGGTATTGCGAAAATTAGAGAGTCGATATAAGGCGTTCGATGTATCTCTTGTCTTTCGTATGCCAGAACGCATTTATAAAAAAGATTTGTTTTCGCTTAAATATCCTGATAAAATTAATTTTCGCTTGCAAAAGAGAATTTCCGAATTAATTTGAATTATTTTGAATAATTTAGTATAAAAGTTCAATAGTTCGATAGTTTAATAATTGATTTATAATAATATAATATATAAAATACAATATAAAATATAATAATGACTTTTTAATTATTTCATTAATTTTTTCTAAAAGATTTTCTAATTGAAGAATTTAAAGAGAGATTTTCTCTAATAAGTGAAGATTCTCATAAAACAATCATAATTTTATACGAATTTTTTATAAATTATATATAGAAATTTTAATTTATTACATCTTCCCCCTCTTCCAAAGGTTAAGAAAATCTTTCTTACATAATATACAAATCCAAAAAAAATTAATGTTATTATATCTTATATCTTTTTAACCTTTCTGTTATGTCAAGGGAATAATTAAATCACCCTACAGAGCAAAGAATATTGATCCTATGTTTAGAAAAAAAAATATGTGTATATATATATATATATATATATATATATATATATATATACATTATATTATATTTATTGCAGTGAGCCATTAAAATTTTGCTGATTGCTTTTATTTATTAAAATAATTATATATGTTACGGAAAAAAACTTTATAATACAATAGTCGCTCGTAGGAGTAACGGTCGGGAGATGTAACTCGTGTATAACCCGTACAAATGGGGGTGCCTCCCATACGTAGGACATCGCGTTTGCGTTGAGTAACAGAACCCGACAGAAAGGGTGGCAACACGTGCTGCCATCCTCCTGACGTCCGGCGTTGGGGATGGCGTGGGGAGTGGAAACGCGTCAACGATACGTCGCAACGGGGTTTATCGAAGCGATAGTGCCGTAACCAGTGACGTACTACTTGCAAAGATCTCATCATGTGAAATCAATTAGGATAATTATGACGCGAAATTACAACGTCCGAATATTTTTTTAAACCAATAATCCTCATCAAAATGTATAATGTTCATTTAATACATGTCGTAAAATTGTTAAATATCAATATATGAATATTGTTGCATTTATTATATCTTCTATTATTATATTTTATTATTACGAGTTTATAGCACAAATAGGATATCAATTAGAGTCTCTTACAAGTATATATAACTTATTTTCTATATAGATCAATCTTTTAATCTTCTTTTTAATAGAATTATATATTCTTTTTAAATTATGCTATGTAAAGTTTTTAATGTTTAAAATCTATTTTATTATATTATTTTATTTTTTATTTAACATTTGAAGAGTGTATCTTCAGGTTTTGTGTATTTCTAATTCGCTACTATCTTTCAATCGTCAATATTTATTTAATACAGAAATATTGTCAAAAATATTTCAAGAGGAAAGGGAAAATATAAAGCAAAGGCAAAACGCAAGAGAACTATTTTCAGAAAAAATATGCAATATCTTTTAATCGTTGTTAATGATTTTTAATATATTTTAATAATTTTTATAAAAAATTCGCAGAAATGTCATATCTTCTACAAATGTTTAATTTCGTAGATTACATTTATCTCTCGAGAGATTAAAAATTCATAAAAACTGCTATATCTCATACATCGTATGTGTACACATTTTTTTCCTTGTCAGGATATCTATCGATACTTCAATATAATATCGCGAACAATACAATTAGTAGCCCCTCTGACGCGCAATCGCGGCACGTCATCGGACGATGCGCGTGTGCAAACCAAGGACGGTGGGGGTAGAGGGCGAGGATGAGACGTGGCCGACAGCTCCGAGGTAAGAGGAGAGAGGGTGGAAGGGAGCGACGTCGCCGTCGTCGTCCTCGTCGTCGTCGTCGTCGACGTCGGACCGCAGCGGTATAGGAACGGTGGGAAGGGGTTAAACGCGCGATGGGGAGTGGAAGGGGGATCGTGGGGGGGCCGTGAACGCGGCGTCGAGCGCCTTCTCGCGCAGTCCGAGTCCGCCGGTCACGACGGTAGCGTCGTGTTGTTGGTCCAGGTCCCCGAGTGAGCGCAGCCGCGATAACTCGCGAAAGGGGCGGCGAGAAGAGGTCACGAGAGGAGCGGAATTGCGGCGCGATCGGGTCGAGACGACGCGAATTTGCGAGACGTCGCGATCGAGCGGATTCACGACAGCCGAACGGCTGATAGATCTGTCAAGTTTCGCGCGAATATTCACGAAGTGAGTCGCGATTGTGAGAATCAGGCAACGGGGAGAGACCGCGGAAGCTCCGAACGCGGAAAGTCGCGCTCGACTCGACGAGACGAAGACCTCGCAAAGGTCCTCGTTCTTCGTGCTTGGCGAGTGAGTGACAAGGGAGAATCTCGGGGAAAGCCTCAACGGAGTCATCTGGGAGGGGTGATTATCGCGTCCCGATGCCACCCTGGCGTCGCGAGCGATTGTGCGGTGAACCGCGTTAGTGATAGATCGCGAGGATGAGCGACGTCGGTCGACGATCGCGGAGGGTGAGCAGGTAAGAGTCGCTATGATTATTCCATGCACCACATCTCGTGGAGACAACCCCGACGATGACGATTATTACCGACGATCAACCTTTCCTTCTCGTTTTACCCTCCTCCCTTTCACCCTCTGTTTTCTATCGCATAATGGCGTTGATTGGGGATCGATTGCGGGATGTGTAGGAGTGTCGGACGACGCTGCTCTGCAGCTCTGACTGCCCCCTGTTCACGTTCGTCGAAGAGAGGGTGCAGGTCGGAGCTGTTCGACGTGGACTGCTGCTGTCCAGGCCGGCGGCGGATCGATTTTCGCGAGGGGCGGGAGAGGGAGGGGTAGGACAAGGGGCGAGCGGAAACGGGGGCAGGAGCGCACTGTGTGCACAGATATATGCATATGTGTGTGTGTGTGTGTGTGTGTGTGACATATATATAAAATTGCACGTAAAATTGTGTATGCTTGAGTGTGCGAGAGTGATTTCGAGGATGATTTCCAGCCTCAAATTTCTCGCGAATCATCGAGATGGAACGCGCCGCCTCGCTTTCCTCTGATCCTATCCCTCTCTCGAAACCGGCGACTTCCGGCCGTACAATTGTCGCTTGTCGCCAAGATTAAATTAGTGTGGGGTTAGACCAATAATGTCGCTATGACTGTGCGATTCTGTCCGATCTCCCGCGAGTCGGTAGATTGAGTTGCATAAATTTATTTAACAATTTTCCGGTAACACACACACACATACGGAGCGATTATAATGCACATGTCATGCGTTATTTATATGTACGTCAGCAGTTATCGTACTACAAACACTTGAGACACATTAAAGTCAAATGTGCATCTCGTGTAATTATCGATTGTAAAAGAAGATGGAAAAATTGTAGACCTGATGATCATATGTTTAACTTAAATTAAATACAAATTGTGACAATTATTCGTTGATATTAATTATTATCATATTTGATTTTCTTCGAATAATTGTTTATGTAGCTGATGCTATTTGGTACGTGAAATTTTGGTGGAAAAATTTATTATTTAAAACATATAAATTTTTTTTTCGTGTTATCTCGTAACTCTAACTTAACAATAAGCTATATCGTTTTTCGACGAAATCATCTTAAGCGATACCGAATTTTTTCGTGGAAGTGACAGATGTATGTGTACATATACATGTATTATACTCTCTAAAAATGAATCAGTGTATTATCACTGTAATCAATGCTGTACTTATAACTGCTTGTAGTACAACATTGATTACAATGATAATACACTGATTCACTTTTAGAGAGTGCTTGCGTATATTTACATATAAGAAAGATTAGAAAATGGTAGCGTTTTTTAAAAAATAAATTAAATTTGTTTCCGATTAACTATGACATAAATAACTTTCACATTCAAATTAATATTCGCGATACTAAAGATGATATCGTTAACTGATACTAAAGATGATATCGTTAACTGATAAGAAAATAATTTTAATAATACTGATAATATTGAATTTTAATAATACTTTCACATATATTTTTGCTCTTTTTCGTTTTAATAAATGATAAGATATCCTTAATTTAAAAGTATCGCGCACATATTCATTATGTTATTTATCGATTGCGAATCTCACTTGATTCTATATACAGCTAAATTGATACTGCTTGAAGTGATTTCACACGCTTTATCGGATAGAATGATTTATCGTTGATAACAGAGTATCGGATATGACTCAAAAATTATTTGCTTTAATTTTTCACGGAAAATTGTTTTTAAGAATTGCAGTTTATTTTATATTTTTGATATACATACTTGCGTCATGACGAACGAAAATTAGCTTATTAACTCCCATACGCATCCATTACTCTGATACATAGTAAGTGGTACAAACCATATGAAGAGATCCCCTGATAATAAAACTTCCTTCCTTTGTATCATTGCGTCTACATATGATAAGATTTACATACTTTTCGACTTTGTTCGTGTCATTTTACGGTTAATTATATATTAAAATAATTGGACTGTCAAGAAGATCCTGGTCAAGAAGGATGTAATCATATGAATTCATATCTTTCAATTCATTGAAAGATTACATGAAAAGATTAAATAAATCTGAAAAATTAAATTCCATGAATTTCACTTTATCCTTCTTGATAATCTTTTATTTATCTTTGTTATTCGTACAAGTCATATTATTTGCCATATTGAAGTTTGCACGTAATTCAAACATAGATTATTTTAAAAGAAAGTCAATCTAAAGGAGAATTTATCTTTTTACACATAATTATTATTTATAATTAAATTTATTCAGGCATCTCGATTCTTCCCATATTGTATTTTAATTGTTTAAAATTTAACGACTATTAAAGTTGTGAAGTACAATAACATAATTGCTTCTGAAGAGAAAAATTTCGGCACGTTAAGAAACTAATTCCACTTCCTGCGAAATAATTGCCAGGCTATTATGAATTGAAAGAAGCGAAAATTGGGAAAATATCTCGTTAAATCATCTCGTATGCATATCCCGATTGTTGCTTCATTCCAGGAGGTACGACTGAGTAATCATTGAAACTCGTGGAAACATGGCAGGAATGTCGCCTTCGTTCGCGAACAAAAATAGTCGCTGCCGCGTCAACTCGACTTCTCAGTCTCCTCTCAAGTCCGCTCGATATAACTGTCACGGCTTGCTCTTAACCCCTTGGGGTGAACCTCTTCCCAGGTTCGAAGGTATTACAGCTGAAGGCGACTATTCCACTCTTTGAAATGGTCGCGGAAATGGAAAAGGTGCGCGAATAACACTACAATGTAGTTCAATAAAAAGAATACGAGAAAAAGAATAATGGTCGTTTTCCATAGTTACTTTTACGCTAAATACGGTTTTAAATTACTACATCACCTCATTATTTTGAGAAAATTAAAATTAAAATTTAAAAAATAATGAATTTTATTTATTTCAAAAATTGAGTTGGTCGCTGATGAGATGCTCAAAAAGAATTTGCTGTGATGAACAATGAGAAACAATTTTTGTGATCTTCTCAAACCTAGAGTTCTAACACAATGTATTTAATTTTGAACAAAATAATTTTTTTTTCAATATATGATAAAGCATATATTGCAATAGCTTTGTTATAACTTTAATCTCAAATTTATTAATATCGTGGTGTGATAGATTACTTTGCAAACCCAAATCAGCAAGAAAACTATAAAGAATGACATTATTCATTTTTTTTTAAGTTTAAAATAATTAGTATTTGCAACGGTTGAAATAAATTTTTAAATTCTGCGTCTAAAAAGATTTTACATAAGATTTTATTTTATTACTAAGTGCAAGAGAAACAGGTTTTCATATTTTAAAGTAATAGAGGAAACTAATAAAGCAATTCTTTAACGATACGTACTATAAATACTGGAAAACTGAATAATGCTTCTGTGAAATATTCTATAGTATAACTACATTTCAAGCTTTAATACATAATTATTATTCTTTACACAAGCATTATAAAAGTTATTATTGTCTTAATAATTGATCAATCTTTTATATTCATGCAATATTTCCATTATTTTAATAATTTATTTTTTTCTGCATTGTGATGATTGGCCGATTGTACTTTCATACACACGTGCATATATACATTTATACACTGATATATAAATATATTTATTTCAATTTCTAGTATATATTATCAGTGGAATGTACAAGATTTCCAAAATTTGTTGGATTTTTATAAAACGCATTTGTGGTTATTTTTACTTTTTTCTTTCTGATTTTTTCGCTCTTTTTCCTCCTCCCGTCCACTAGCTTGCTTCTTATTCATTTTTCTCGTTACTCATTACTGAGATATTACTGAGGCATCCACTGTGAATCGCTTAACGAATCGAGATCCCGAGGTCGGAAAAATCGATTGCACATCGGTATATCCATCGTCCAGCGTATTTGGGTACGTGCCGTACGAAACTCTTTACTATCCTTCTCCCACATACCTCTGACCCTCTCTCGCCTTCTGATCCTCCTCGGTCGATAGACCGCGACTCGTGGATGCTCTAGTTTTCTCTCACTCTTTCCTTATATTTTTCCTTGTCTATCGTTCTTTCATGAAGTACGACAGTAAAACGTAATGAATTATCGTAACGAATGAAGAGCAATTAATGAAAATTAAGATTGTTTTAAAATATTACCTCGAATAATAATCAGATTTGTCACAGACAAATAAAAATATAGTTATTAATTACTTCATCTCTGATCGACTTTATCTGTATGAAACTCAATTACACTAAAACAGTTAATTATTTTTACTTCTTTGATTTCGAATATTTGCATTTAAGATGAAATAAAGTTTGCTAAATTTTTCGATCTTCTTCATGATGTTAGACAAATCGTATCGTCATATTATATAAATTCTTTACAATTTCTTAATTTAGTTGGAACGATTTGGCTATTCTTATATCTCAGATGAACCGAATCATTTCGGAGCAGTTTGATACCTCGAACGAGTATTTCACAATATGGCGATAAGCGGGCGACAATCTTTGACAGGGTCTTTTAGAATATGAGCAAAATGATAATGGGCAATGTAAGTGTTTGGACGACATCTTGGAGTAGGCTATGAACGGGACAAAGGCGAATCGAAACTTGTTGTGTTCTCCAACTTGGGCGGACAAGCTGGAAAATGGATTTGGTAGAGTTTCGCTTCGAGAGTTACGCTACTGAAATCAGGTCGCTTGCTTGCCAGTGAAGTGTACAATAACCATTCGTCATTTCGTGGGTACACATAGATGGTATATGATATATAAACAGGAAGTGAAGTTATCACGTTTGTGTTATATCATGTTTATTTATATATTTTCTAATATGAATAGTTTTGAATCATTTAATATTTGCCGATAATATTTAAATGCTAATTTTTATTTGTGTTAATTGTGTGTTAAGAGATTATTAAGAGATTATTTACTTATAAATAATTCCTCTTGTTAATTTAATTCTGTATATATTATAATAATATTATATATTTATATATTAATACATTATTATATACAATAATGAAGTAAATAATTTATATAGAATTATTATTAAAATAAATAGATTACAATGTAATTACATATATTTTATTATGTATAAAATATTTGTAGTTATATATATAATAATATCATTGTTTTAAAAATTATAAATTTTTTATGACAATAAATCATATATTTTTCGATATATTAAAATAACTTTAAGCTTTATAGCTTTGTGCTACGTAAATAAAATTTGGAAGCGTCATATTTAGTTTAAATGGAGATAATGTCTACATAATTAAGGACAATGTCTACATTCTTGAAATCTTAATGTCGAGGGATTTTCTATTTATTCTATATTATTTTCGCTCTCTCATCATTGAAGTGCATAATTACTTTGCCTTAATCTGATTGTGAGAAATTATTATTGAAATGAGCGAATATTCATTATATTGATTAAGAAAATTATATTTATTTTCTGTTTTCCAAGTTGAATACATTTTGCGAGTTAATGTCACGTACATTAAATATAAATTAAATTTAAACTATATTTATTATGATGCATCTTTTCTTTAATTTTTAAGAAATAAAAAGAATAAGAAGGGAGTAAAAAACGCAGCCTTTGCTACCATGCTATTTAAATTAAAATTAGACGTTTTTTTATTTACTACTTTGTAATATGTGCTATGAAAAAACGCAACGCTCTATCATTTAAAATCTTTGAGTCATCATATATCTTGTAAATTAGATAAATAAATAAATAATTAAATTAATAACAAGAATTGGATTAAAAAATTTGATTTTCTTGTTTAAACAGTTTCTTTCATAGAATACATATTATACGTATTTTAGCCACCGTATTTTTTAAAAATATATTTTATTAAAAAGATATAAATATAATGATCTATAATGATGAAAAAATTAAAATATATTTGTTAAATTTTTTGACAAAGTCCCTCTAATTATGTAATTTAAATTAATAGATTTAAAGAGTATAAATTAATAGAGAATGAGATTAAAGATAAAAAGATTAAAGATAAAAAGATATCTCAAATCATAAAAAGCTTTCTTGCAATCGCATTCTCGAAGTAAAAAATTTTCTAATAAATCAAAAAGCTAGCATTGTAAAAATGGTAATTGAAAGAATTGTGTCTCTTTTTCTGAATAAAGTCACATGATGCATTGAAACTATTAGGGTATATCCAGACGGCTCATTGAATAACCGGCATAAGGGAAATTGAGAGACTCAAGGGTGCGATTAAACGATCCGTTCTTCGAGGTCGCGGCGGCGGAGCTATCGTCATTATCTCCGTTGATATTCTTTTGATCTGTCAAGGACGAGAGTTCGTTGTCTACGCGAATCGACAGTTAATGGCATAGTAGTGCTCTCCAGATGCGGCGGTATGCATTAAATGCCGAAGCATTTGCTGTCAAAAGCGGGTAGAAGGGAAGGTATATAATGGTAGTCCCGAAGCAGAAGGAGATTCTCTCGATGATGGCGAACATTCGCGGAAAGGATTAAAGCGTGAGATCAAAGCGGTTAAGTAGATCTGTCGTCGGCAGAGAGAGAAAGAGAAAGAGAAAGGGGGAAGAGAGGAATGCAATCGATCGTATTTGAAATCGTAGAACTCGTTCCAATCGCTCTGTCTGTCATTCTCTTATATTGCTTTATGGATTGAAATTTATGCTTGTTTGCTTTAAGAATTACATAGAAACGACATGATAAATGAAATATATGTTTGCCGTTTCTTTATACAGTGTTCTATGCCGGGCAATGTTATTTAAAGGAGATTGAACAATTTCAAACAAATAAAGTCAAGGTGTATTTCTAGGAAATAATTAATATGTATTGTTTGGACGAAAGATTTTCAAAAGACATCCAAAACATATATAAAATATTGCTCAAGATTTTTTATTTAGACTTCTAGTATAGTATACAGTATGAAAGTTAATCCTAAAAATGCTGCAAATACATTATGTCGTATCACGTTATATGAATGTTATAAGTATTTAAGAAATAAGATTAGCGAAAGTATTAATGAAATCTAGTGCGTTATAAATCGATACCATAAAACAGAATAATCATGATTAAGTATACATAAGTGCATAATTAAAAATGTATACGTATTTAAATTTAATTAAATTTTCCGCAATTTCTCTTAATTTATCTTACTTTAAGAAAAAGATAATGAAAAGCTCATCGCTAATAATTTGCTCGGATTAATTAACTTTAATTTAAATGCTCTATGTGCGCGTGGAAATGTTTGCTTTCGAGTTTCCACTTTTCAGAGGAAAGTAATCGCGTGATCGAACTGCACAAGACTCTTTTCGTACGCACATATACACCCTCTTTTATGGTCGCAATCGCGATGGCGACGTCCTGTCTGGTAGCTTGTATTCCTTACTTTAATGACCCTCGTATTGTAGGATGACGACCCCGCGTGTCTGCTTGCGCGCTATGTTTCCCTTGCATTTTGTATTTATTATTTATTACATAGTGATAACAGAGGGAGAGAAAGAAAAAGAGACAGAAACACAGAGAGAGAGAGAGAGAGGGGGGGGGGAAGAGAAAGAGAGATATGCAAAGAAACTATGCAAAGATGCATATTAACTAATTTTATTAATATTTTATCTTTATATGCTAAATTTGGCAAATTTTGATATGTGAATTTTGATATAGAAATATGATACGAGATAAAATTATGGGATACTTCTAAATAGAGAAGATTAATAATATAATGTTATTTCACGTATGTTTATATCATAAAGTAATGTTCTTGATCATTGATATATTTTCGCAAGCAGAATTGCCTTAAATTGATATAGATTTTATTTTTATTACATCATAAAAAGATTGTTTTCTATAATTTTATTCATTACCATTTTCTATTCGTTATATCTCATTTTATTCAATTTTGTTACATTGATGTGTTTTGAAATTGCAAATTTTAATCCTTTCTTTAAAAAAAAAAATATTTTAAATGTGCGGGGATTTATAAGAATTTATAAAAATTTTTGTGCGTAAATTGATTGCGTGTAAAATTCCAAATACAAATGTAATAAAAATAAAATCTACATCAAATTTGTGCGAACTCTGTTTATGTGTGTGTGTGTGTGTGAAAATACATGAATGATCAAGGACATCACCATGATATCAACATACGTGGAACAACATCATGTTATTGATCTTCTCTATTTAAAAGTGCGCGATGTGCGCTAGAAATTAAAAATTTGTACGTGATAACATTATGTAACATTGTTAGTCAAAAAAGTGTCATGAAATATTTAAAGAGATGTTAAAATTGTGTTAACAAGATAGTTTTTTTATTATATAAATGTATAAGAAGGATTAAGATTAATTTTTTATATAAATGTTTGAATAAATTTTGATAAAGGTGTTAAATAAATGTTTCAATATTTTATCGAATCTCTCAAACGCACATGTATAAAGGACATATTTTTATTTTTTAAATCACATATTTTCTCGCGAGAGAAAAGTAATATCTAATTAGAAGAAAGAATCTATTATTTATAAAAATAATTGTATAAGATACCAATTAAAATAGTGCCTGCAACAAAGAAAATTGATTATAAAAATAATAATAATATAATAATTTATATATATATATATATATATATATATATATATATATAATATGCACGCAAGAGGAACTGGATTAATATATTAAAAAAAATTATATTGCAAATATTTGGATAGTTTTTTTTACATTTGCATTAATTCCAGTGATGAATAAAAATATTTTATAAATTTCTGAATAGAAAACGAATGGAATCACTTTATTATGCGATCGATCTTCCATATTTAGAACAGCAACATGCGCAATCATTTCATTTATGTAATAAATACAACGCGATTTCTCTTTCTTTCTCTCTGTAATTTAATAAATCTCTCTGTTAGAGACATATATAATAAACTTTATACTCAGTAAGCTAATAAAATGAAAATGGATTAACTTTTGTACATATATGTTTGTATATATGCTTGCCATATTTTTTAAGTGTTTTTCTTCACATAATATATAATTATTTGAAAAACTTATGCACTTCTTTTGCTCCGCAGGTGAACCGGCGAATTGCACTTATGTGATAACTTATGGACGTGATCGAATGGGAAAATTGAGCGGGAGAATCAGACTGCGAAAGATTTATTCTTTTGGCCCTCGTTTAGGCACGTTCCTAAATCACGTTCATTGACCGAAGGGAAGTTTGACCTGATTATAATCGAAGGTAGATCTCTCTTTTTTCTCTTTCTCTCTCTTTCCTATTTTTATTCTTCGTTTCTTTTACATGTATATGTGATTTACATATGTTAGTTTATGTTTGTACTTTTGGTTTACTGTTTGCGAATTATGTCTAGTGGTCCAGAATGTATATATGGCAATAGATCAATGGCAAAATTCGCTAAATATTCGAGCTCTATTACTTGTTTTTTAATATTGTAATTAATTGAGAATATTATAATATTTGGAGTACTTTTTTAGTAGAAGTACTTTCGAGTAGTATCAAAGAAGCAGTCTTAAAATTGATTTTATCAAAGCACTTTTTCGCAGCAACTGGGAAATCTCTAAATTCTATTAAATCCTTTAAATGTACATTTGATTAAAATTCGTATTTTATTTATCAAATTTTATTAATATAAAAATTGATTGTATGTTACAACATAATTAATTAAATTTTTAATTAAATAGTTTGCTATTTTTTATTTTTCTTACAGATAACTATTTACAAATTGAATATTGATAAAGTCATAGGCTCAATTCACATGATTTCTTAATGAAAGTAGGATTAAAAATAAAATAGTAAAAAAATTATTTTGAGAAAAATTGCAAATTGAATACTCTTGAAAAAAATAAGCGAAAATTCTAGAGGAAAGATATAATTGATAATATTAAAAACACGAAAAAAAAATTATTGCAAGGTTCTCTTTAATAATTCTTATATGATCCCTCCTATATTCTATTCTTGAAAATGCTGCATATGTGGAGTTGTCACATACAAAAGAATTGAAAAAATAAAATTGGGTCAAATGAGTTCGGACAAAACGCCAAGATTTTTTGAGGGAGTAAATTTTTTTATCTTCGATATAGCCGTTAGCGGCGTCAAGCATGGCGAGGAGCAGCGACAGTGGATGCGGACGCGGTTCCGAGCATACCGTCGTCGTCGTCCGTCGCTGCGATGCCGCCGTTGTGTCACGTGGTAAGGCAACGTCCCAGTGCGAATCGATCGGCGTCGGTAACGGCGGCAGCGTCCAGCAACGTAGCAACGACGACAGCACCGGGAACGGCATCGCCACCGGGACCAGCAATCAAGGTACCGAGGGTACGGTCGACTAGAGTCATCTCCTTCAACGTAGGCGCGGTGCACTTCAGAATTAATGTGAGTATATTTTTTTATATTTTTATATATTTGTCTCGTCTTTCATTTTTATATTGTCATTTTCTATTTTTTCTATTTGTACGTTTATATTTTATTTTTATTATTGTTATTTTTTTTCACGAATTTGGCAACCAAGTGTATACATAAGAAAATTTTAAGAAAGAGCTTTTAATGAAAAATATTCTTTCATGCAGATTTTATTCAGAAATGACTAATAATAAAAAAGAAAATCAAGTCACTTAGTCGTTCAAGAGAAGAATGATTACAAATATTAATTTTTTAATGTAGAATTATATTTCATAAGTCATGATTTTATAGGTTGACGTTTAATGAACTATGAACTATGCGTGAGATAAAAAAATATGAAAATAATTTATGAAAATCTTTAAAGAATTTAAAAGGAAGAAAATGAGATAATATATTGTTGTTATATCATTTATATATATAAATTTAGAAAAAAATTGCAATGTAATATTGAGTTATATGTATATATATTATAAAATAATAAAATCTCTCAAATATCTTCTTGAATCTGCATATAGGGCAGAGTATATTTTAAATATTGCATGCTATGTATTTACGGAATAAATTTCACAGGGGATGTATTCTAGATAATTTCATTGGTTTTTGCAAAATTTACTGCACAATCACGAACGCATAATTAACTATAAGTTAATGTACGCATAATTAATTATAAGTTAATGTTAAACGAGATATCTCACACAATTATATTGTTCTCATGCAAGTTTACTGTTAAGTAAGAGAGCAGAGAGGAGTGAAAGACAATGTGAGTAGGTGGGCGATGGGGAAGGGGAGAAGAATACGCGTCGCGCAGTTGTGCAAACAAATTAAGTTAATTAATCGAGAAGAACGCGGCCGTGTTTCAGTCGCATGCCTACATCCGAGTACAGTTTCTCCTTCTCGTCATTTTCCGCGCGTTAGAGCGAGAAGGAGCGGGATATCTTGTTCCTCTCCGTGGAAACATTAATTAAGTAGCAAGTTATGTTCCGTCCTGACAGATTACATATATTGCTGCTTTTTTGCTTTCAACTGTCATTCACCTTTGCAGTAGCTTATCCGTATACGCGAATAAAAATAATAGTAATAAATGCATTTTTAATTCGCTTGCATCCAGTTTGTTAATTTCTGAATAAGATTTATATTTTCATTAATTAAAATTTTTAGAAAGTATGTTCAGAGCTCAATACATAACATAATATAATATAACATAATATAATAATATATAATTTAATTTATATTATAATTTAATTTACGTATAATAATATAATTTATCTGTGCACAGAATTATCTGTGGTTTCTCTTTGTAAAGTGATATTTATAAGCTCAAATTTTGATATATAATAATGCTGCGAAAAAAAAATTATAATTAAAAAATTAAACTATTAAAAATTATATTATTTTAATTCATGTTTATATTTGACGAATATTTTATATATATTACAGTTATAACGCATAAAGAAATGTTCTGTCACACGCACACTTGCTTAAATTTTTTGTATTATTTCGTGTATGTGAATAATGATTAAATGATTGACATTAAAATTTCTGTTGATATGCAATCTTAACATTATACATGATTACAAATATACTTAAAAAATTTTTATTCATTTTTATCTGTTCTTTTTGAAAAAATGTCAATAGAGACTATAAATATCTTTTTCAGACATATTATGCCTGAAAATTGAATTCAAGATGATTTGAATTAAATCGCTGCAAAATATTGCAAAATTTGAGCTTTTATTTTGATGATTCATCAAATATTGAAATTTCTTGGCCATTTAGGTCGCTGATGTTTCTGTTACAGAGGACGAAAGGGCGAATGCATCTCGCAGGATGAATTCGTGCGCGGTTTATTTTTCCCAATTACGGGCGATGCTCGTGAGAAATCTTCTGCTCAAGAAACGCGAGAAGCGGAAGACGATGGCGGTATGTCTGATCTAACTTTAATATATTATATTAATTTATATTTTGAGACATTCTTGTCGTGTAGTAATAATTGGCACAGGACTTTTTTTTATGCAGAAATTCAATCGATTATTTCGGATATTGACATAATTTAAAATAAAAATCGAAATCCATGTTTTTTACATAGCTTTAAATATTTGTTATTTCACGTACAAGTTTCGTTAACCTGGTAACTCTCTTGAAGAGAAATGTGTAATATTAAAAATCAGCACCTGTCTCGGAGAACATGCCGTGGACACTTGCCAAATAAACGTATGTGTGCAATACATTTAGTCAGTGCGCAGAGAAATACACTGCCAAAATCATTCTCGAAGATTGTCTTTGTAAGTAATAGAACTGCTTTTTAAAATCGACCGCTACATAATAACGAATTTAAAAAGAATGCAATGATATTGAATTAGTATTTTTCTGTATTTCCATCTTGGAACATAAATGTTTTCTAGGAAAAAAGAAAATTTTTAATTTAGTCTAGTCTTAAATACGTCTATAGCAAAAAAATTACAAATAATTAAAAAATAAAATTTCGTTATTTATTTTTACTAAATTTAATTTGTTATAATCTTTAAATTTTTGATGTCACCTTTTGTAGGATAAAATTTAGAGAATAAAAGTATTAAGTATTAATTATTTTATATTTGTTTTTTTAAATAAAACGATAATTTATCGATGCTATAGTCTTTTAAAAATATTATTTCAAGAATTCACAATGAAATAACTTTCAATTAGATCTCCAAATGTTTGATGCAAATAACTAGCTTTGTATTAATTAAACAGTTTGTAAAATTGCATGATAATATGAGAAAATGATGAAAATTAAACGATAAAAGGAAAATAGACGCGAACACAACGGCGACAGCGTGACTGCGTCTGTCGCAGATTACGTTGCCAATTGGATGTTTTTGCGTAGTCGTGATTACGTTGCCAAGTGGGCCAAGGGGTGGATTGTAAAGAAGAAAAGATACTTCTTTAGATATATTTTGTTGAATTTTTCGCGCTTTTTCTGCATTATCATTCCCGCTTTTATCATATGAAAATGATGCATATTTAGAATAAGTGTAATATGATAGAAAAAATAAAATATTTTACATTTGACAAAAGAAAATGATAATTATAATTTAATTAATTATATTGAGAAATTTAATTACAATTAAATATATTTGAAATATTTGAAATTATCTATGTATAAGTCTAATATCTCAAGCTTACTTTGCCAAATATTATAATTTCATTACAAAAGCATGATTTTTTATATTATATATATATATATTAGTAAAAATATATATAAGTAAAAATATATTTAAAAAATTTTTCTTTGAATATATATGCATAATAATGTTTTTGTATATTTAGATTCTTGAAGATTAAATATACTCTAATCAGCAAAATACAATAATTAAACATGATTTTATAATTAAATTAATAATTATTCCTGCTTCAAAGATAAATAAATCGTGCAAAATACGTTTCGATAAATAGTAGCCATTTAGATATATTTATTTTATATGGATTAATATTAATATTAATTGTAATAATTGCTGCTTTAATATTTGCATTGAATATAATCCTAATAGTTGTAGATTGTATTTCGCAAAATAATATGATGCAACATATGAAACAGTTCGGATTATTACTTGTTCGTTTAGGTTTCGTCGCGCGGATGTCAATAATATGATTGACATAACAACAACGTGCTATGTAGCAAAATTCAGAACTCGTTTCTTACAGCGTATAACGCGTTGTTGTTATGTCAATCATATTGTCATTTGCGCGGCGAAACTCGAGAGCGAACAGGTTTACATACGGTCGTATTGTCATTGGTATGATGAGACCTGAACGAGCTAGTATTGACTTTGTCTCTTATGTCGTTTTAAATCTCGCGATAAATATCAAGAGATGCCAAATGTAGTCACTTCATGATTAAGCCGTATGCTAATTAAGAACAAATGTTGTTGATGGCTATTTGTTTTGAAATGTAAAATACATCACATGATTTTTTTAATAAGAATAATAATTACTTTAATTAAAAAGTGATGAAAGATACATTTGTGTATCTAACTACGTATTTATAATATTCGCCAATCAAGTAATAAAAGTTCATGTTTGTATATTATTTTTTTAAATAGGTATTTTGTGAGATTTATTCGTTCAAAAAAATACATCGCGAATATAGGTGTTGTACAAATTTTTCGACAACATAGTATCGAAATTTCGCGATTATTTAGCAATTTAATTTTAATTCACATATATATATATATATATATATATATATATGTTATAATACAAGATGGCAAACGTCTCAAAAAAGACAGTATTTATTAGCGACAGATGTATTGTCGTCACAAAGAGTAATTTTGAATACATTATAATTACATGTCGCGTGCAATTAACGTCACGAGTATCGTGTAAAGTGCCGTGCGCAATCGTCTGTTGATTAGTACATGTGTTTATTAAATCACATCCTCGCGAGTGCGTGTTATGAAGGAATAACAAAAAAAATAATTCAAAAGAGGAGAAGAAAGTCCGGCGAGGTATCGGCAGAGAAATCATGAAGAAGGAATAGCTTAATTAATTCTTTATTTATTACTCGTGAAATTAATTGATTATTATCTTCGCGATAATGATTTATTTAATATTATTGCATATATAATGTGTATGAAATATTTTAGATTTTATTTTAAAATATTAAATTTGTTTGCATGCATATGTAAGATTGAAATCGTGACGAAAAAAATTGTCACATTTCTTGATAACAGAAATAATGAGTAATAAATCTTAAAATAATCGATTTAATCGTCATTAAAAATTTGCTTCTATATCATGCAAAAATGATACTGTTAGATTTTTTATTATACAATAATTTGGAATAAGGAAATTCGAATAATTTCAAATAAATTACTTGGTAACGTTTTATTTTTTTAGATTTTATTTAAAAAAAAATAAAATCTAAAATAATAAAACGTTACCAAGTAATTTATTTAAAATTATTCGAATTTTTTTATTCCAAATTATTATATAATAATCAATAGTAATAATAGTCAACGCTATTAAAATATCTTGTAAAATATTTTTTTTCACTTAATACTTTATATTTTTTCATTTTATACTTTTTTACATCATACATACTTATATCTTATACATACAACAATAAAGAGAATAGATTCCATATTTAAAGAAGGATTCTTTTGAAAGAAATGAGTAAATGTAAAAAGAGAAAGAGAGAAATATATCTATATACTATATTATTATTTGTTTAATATACTCATGCTACATCTGCATTGAATCAGTGATGAAGTGCATTGGATGAAGAATATTCTAATATATCGTTGGAACTTATAAAGATTCAAGATTCATAAATTCACTTTTTATTGTAAAAAACTTGATTTGAAAGCAAAAATCGATTTTTGCTTCCCTCTTCATTTCAAAAGCTTCAAGAATTAACTGCAACAAGCTTATTTCTTGCGAGTATTTCTCTGCTTGCCATCCTTGGCCTTGAAGATAGCCGGGTCGAGGACGTTGATGGGCCCGTTATTCCATAACGAAGCGGATACGGTCTCGGTAGGCTCGACAGTAGACGGCAGCAGATGGGGCCCGACCAGAAAATATGCCTGTTGAACCCAGGTGAACAGGGGCAACCCTGCCGCGCAACACTGCCACAAGGGCAGGCCCAAATGGGCCAACATCATGCGAAAATACGCGGTGAAATTGTCGGCCAGATGGTACCAGCTGCCGTCGTGATGGAGCCAGATACTCGGCGAGTCCTGCTCTTGCTTGGAACGATACGTCAAGTAGATCTTGCCGTTTTCGGGTCCCGGAAAGCACTGGCCGATCTCGAAGAGCTTGCAATCGCGCGAATCCCCGGAGAACATGACGTCTTCCTGCAACTCGCTCCCTGTTTGAGTCCCCGATGAGTCTTGCGCTGAGACTGATCCTGTCTGCCGATCCTTGCCGACATATCTTTTGAGCGACGACAAACTACCGATTTCCATGCGACCTATCGAAAATTCCTCACCTGTATGCGTTAAATGTTGTTTAAATTAATCAATGTGAATTGCAGTTATTGATTTGCACTAATACATTTTGAAATTCTACTAAATAACAAAAAAATTCCGAAGATAACATATAAAGGGTATTTGAAATATCAGAGAAGCTTTTTTAGATATTCCCTCAACTCTGTGTTGTCTAAATTATTATCTTTCATTATTTGAAAAACTGACTACGCTGGACATATTTCAACTTGTTTATTTGTTTGGGAAATGAAAGATTCTTTCTTAGATCTAGAGTTGCTGATAGCAAATGTCACAGCGAAAAAGTCCGTGCAATGAGATTTGTATCTGATTTTTATATCTACGCCATGATTGAGTCATATTTTTTTTACTTTCAGTGTATGATATATTACAATCATTATATTGAGATAATTACATTAAGAATTTTAAAGAAAAATGAAAAAATTAACAGCTCTATTGTTACAACAAAATATAACAGAGTAACAGACAGATAATTCTTTTTTATTTATTACTATATTTTTAAAATAATACAGTTATGTTAAATAAATAAAATTATAACTCAGAATATAGCAATAAATTAGACAATTTTTAAAATCATATCAAAATAATATGCATATAATGAAATAAAAATTTTAGTATAGAAAGAAAATTAATTATTCTAATAATTTAAAGAAGAAAATTAAGGATATAAATACAATATAATACAAAAAATATAAATTTACATAAAATATATAACATAAAGTTTTATATTATTTTTTTTGATATTGTGAAGGAAGGAAACATAAAGAATGATAAGAAAAATTAACACAAATATATTGGATATGTTGAATTGGGGGCGCGTGATCAGAATAGTTACCGAGATTACCTGCTATCTCGAGATTCCATTGCAGTAGGAAACCGTCGATGGAAGCATAGAAATTCCGAACGTCCTCGGGGAGCGCGCAGCAATGGCGTTGCTCCCAGCTGTTGATAGCTCCGAGTTCACAGCCGTTTCGCCTCTCGATCCGTACGTTTCTCACACACGGGGAGTTCTCGAGGATCTTGACCACACCAAGGGTCAGATTTTCGTAGAATGAATCCTCGGTGACAACGTCCACGAAGAATGACATCGCCTCGAGATCTTTACCCTCTGCCTTTTACAAATATTTAATCACAAAATTTTTCAGTTTCTTTAAAATGGAAAGAGTTTAGTTTTATAAAGTATATTTCTGAATGAATTTTTTTGTATGATACATTTATTTATTATTTATTAGTAATATATTTATCATTTATTTTTGGAATTAATTAGTCACATATTAAAGGAGGTGGAGAAAAAGAAAGACAAGAAGATAGATTACAAAGATTATAATATTGTTAAAACAGCGTTTCATAAATTATAGTTTTAATATATACTTTAGAGAACTTATTAAGTAGATTATATATTTTATATAATCTACTTATTGTTAGAGATTAGATTAAATTTACTTAAAAAAATTTAAATTTAAATTTATATATATTATTGTTTGCAATATATCCTTTCTTTTATTGATCACATATCATTTAGATTTATACTGACATTTTTTATTTTTCTATCTTTTATTATTTTTCGTTTTTTTACACTTTCTCTCTTTTTTTATTTCTTTTTCTTTCTCTCTTATATAGTATTATATAGTATTTTTCACTGTAGAGAATAAAAATTAAAACACGTAATAAATAAGTGAATGATGAATTGAGTCACACAGATGGAAGTAATTACCATATGTATGTTTATCTTGTTCAGCGATCATTCTTTACAAAGAACAGATATAAAAACCGCTCGCGTAATTGGATATTATAGTGCCTTCGTAACTGGTATTACATCGATCCGTTTTACGTAATCGTTGTCTCGGTACCTCTGGGATGAGCGTAGAAAAGACGCAAATTTTTGCACTACACATATTATTTTATCGTGATAATGTAAAAAAGATTTCTGTCTTCCAACGTTTTAGCAATCATCGCGTTCGTTCCTTGTTGATCGCCATGACGACGCAATCTTGAAGCCAGCAATATTCCCTAACAAAGTACGGGGATGCCTTACTGTCTCTTGCTTCTTTATTTATGATAATTTGAATCTTTCTTCTTGAAAATTTTCTGATTTTTTCGTAAGAAAAATTGAGTTGATTATCCTTTGTAATAATTTCTGAATTTTAAATACTGTATTACAACAATTGAGCTGTCAAATGCTATTAATACAAAATTAATTAAAAAGCTACGATGAATTTACATTTTCTAATAAATCAAAGTTATTGAGAAAATATAGAATCTTTTTGATCCTTACAATTTTTAATCAATTTTTATATAATAAAATTAAAATTATTTATATGTCGCTATTTTTTTATTAAGAGAAATATAGTCTAAAAGTTGAAAAATAAAGTGAAATAAGTCAAATAAGTCAAATAAAGTCAAATAAGTTGAAAAATTTGCGAAACAAAGAAAGAAAGTAATGATGGTTCTTTGTGTTTTCTATGTTACAATTTAGAGATTCTCATTCATAAATTTAAATTACTGATATAAAATTTTTTTATAACTACTGACTAAACTCTTTTTCATTGCTACTGAAGAATTCTTGTAACGAGATCGTCAATTTATCAAAAAAAAAAAAAAAAGAAATATACGCGGTAGAAATATTTCAGAATATTGCTTGATATTGCGTTGCAAACAGTGAAATGAAACGGCAGGTGCATGAACGGAACCTCGAATAATTACAGGACATACACGCACGTGGGGGATTTCTTACCGTGCAGAATTTACGCGTCACGTTTTTAGGGGCGCAATGGGAAATGGAGGGAAACCACCCTATCTCCTGCATACTGTGGATATTAACTGCAAAAAACACGAGAGATCTTTTATTCATTTAGAATAAGCCGTGTAATTACAGAACACAGCCGTATTCGTGAAATAAGCTTCCTAAACAATAAAATATCTTTCATGCTTTTATGGCTTTTTTTTCTGTAATTTTTATTTCTCTCACTACCACACAATTAATTTTCAAAATTTAAATAAATATATATTTATTACTTAAAATACAGCTTAAAAATTATTAATCTAATAAGTATATCGTTTCTCTTTGAGAGATTTAAGAAAAAAGTTTAAATGCCTATTTTTTAAAATTCGGACATGAAAATGCTTGATTTCTTTGATCAAAGAAGAATCCAATTATTACTTACGAACAAGAAACTGGCTCTTAACAATTTCACAAGATACGTCGTATAAATGGCGCATTTATCTAATCCAAAATCTGTATCACTTGATTGCCCACAGGAGATCTTTCTACCCCTATATACTCTTGGGATCTTGATCGTGGTGAAGGTCCTAATACCGAACCCAAACTATCCCGCGATGACGACACAGAGGCACGAAGGGGATATATTCAAATTATTCGATGGCCACAAAAATAACACGATTGCTGTGGTACCCAATTCCACGGAAACCCTCGTGAGTATTAGTTTCTGGAAATTATTGCCAATTCAGCATGTTGAACTAATGTCGAATTAAATGCAAATGCTCTTACTTTTTAAGTATTATATGAAAAATGCTTTATATGTATAAGAATAAAATTATTGTATCTTATCATTTTATTTCAATATTTTCCATTGAATTAATTTGTTTATTTAAATAATTCTTCTATCAAATATAATTCTGCAAAAATTAGGTTGCGAGTTTAAAAATAAAGAATTTTAATATTTTTATATATTTTTCTCCATAATAAATACAAAATTTTGATTTTATTTTAATGTCATATTGAGATAGTTTCTTCTGAAAAACAGCGATTTCTTGAATTTTTAATTTTAACAACGATTTCTTGAATTCTTAATTTTCTTAATTCTTAAATTTTATATTTACTTATAAATTATATATTTTTTTTGTCATATTTATCTTTTATTGTATATATATATATATATATATATATATATATATATATATATAGAAGCAATGAAAACAGGCTATCTAAAAATTTGTAAATTATACGTTTTATGAAAAATTGTTATACATATATGAAAATTGCATAATTTCAAGAAAATTATTATAGCACATCTATTTTTTAATATAAATCTATTCTTCTTGCAATATTTGAAAGAGTAGAAATTGAATAGTTTACGAGATATTTTATACTTTAAATTGACATAATTTTACATAATTTTACATAAACTTTGAAATATCTATTGAAGTGTGACAATGAGTGTAATAATTAAAAAATGAATACTTTATAAAATATATCATAGTTTATATAAAATGTGTTATGTTAAATTAAAATATCTCGTAAACTATCCAGTTTTTGGCCTCTTTATTTCTATAAATTTTATAAATATTGCGAGAGGAATCGATTTATGTATTCAATTAAAACCGTTTCATTTAAAATAACTAGGTCGACTTTCAAATCTTTGAAATATTTATAAAAAAATAAATGTATTATATAATGATCTTGCAATTATGCAATTTTCATATGTAACCAATTTTCATAAAATATTTGGAACTTACAAGTTATTTACGTAATCTATTTTAATTACTTCATCTTATATAATTTTATTCTATATAAATTATATATTTTTAAATGACCTCTCTGTAAGATAATTGCAATTTCGCAGAATACAAAGTTAACGATGTATTTCCAGAACTTCTTAAACTCTATGAACACACTCTGGCTCTCTATGTGGGATTATCCCGATAAGCTTCCTTTAAACTTCATGGTGTTCGACACGAAGGACGATCTGCAGGCTGCGTATTGGAGAGATCCTTACAGCGTACCATTGGCAGTTATTTTCGAGGATCCCCAACCGATATCACAGCGTCTCACGTAAGATAACTTTTACATCATTAATCATAAATTTAAGACAGGTACATGATTCTCTTCTTAAGAAAAAAATGGAGAAGAGCATGGAAAAGAGAGAAACTTTCTATAGAAAGGAGCATTTTTATTTCCCACCTTTCTATCAAATTTTTTTCTATCAATAACTTGTTTCTTCTACCAAGAACTAAAATTGTCAAAGTTTTTAATAATGAATAATATATGAAATATAATGAATAATATGAAAAGTAATACTGAGAATTATCTTTGGAAAATTTTTAAACTCTCTTTCTTGTTAATTTTTGATAATGAAGTTTTAATAAAGAAATTTTAGATTTAAGTTAATAATAGATACAACTGATTTTTTAATAAATATTTCTGATTAAATTTATTTCACGAAGATGAATTAATATTTTACTTACTTAATATTTTATCGTATATTGAAAGCTAAAAGTTACTAGATATAAATGATATTGAACAGAAATTACAATTAGTTAAAAATTGCTATGAAATTAAAAAAAGTTTCCAGGTTAAACACAAGTAAAATTCACGATCTTTCTGATCTTGATTCTAATCTTCAATATGATATGAAAATCCTCATTAATATATATGAAACTTTATACATATTTTACATATATATATATATATATATATATATATACATATATATACATATATATATATATGTTGTTCAGATATGAAATTAGGACGAATCCTTCATATACTTCGCCACCTTCGCCAACGGAATTGTATTCCGCTCCGGTCACCTGTCGAAAGGACACAAGTCACTGGATGGGCGGCGTTTTGTCGATAGAAACCGGAGGATCCTGTCCTGTTAATAATTATTTGCATTCTGGCTTCTTGGCTCTGCAAATGATAATGGATATTACAAAGATAAGAGTAAGGCTTTTTTTCTTTTTATTTCTTTATTAGAGAGAGATTTCCATTCATGAAATAAAGAATCATATAAAGAGTGAGATTCCTTCCTTTCTCTCTCTTTAAAGCTTAGTAAATATTATCTATCAATTTTATATTCGTTTGTTACACATCTTTCACCGAATATGAAGGTAAATTTGATGTTGCAATTGGTAGATAGTATTTAAAGAGATACGTGTTGATATATTAATATTATTTTTTGTAGTTGGACACAGGAAATTCGGACGTCACTGTGCCGGATATTAAACTCGAAATGTTTCCCAAGGAAGCTTTTACCGCTGGTAAGCAATCATTCCAGAAAATCTTTATTCATAAGTATGTGTACGATACATTTTATATATCAATATTTCTTTAGATTGGATGCTAGCCTTCAGAGTTGTTATTCCTCTTTACACGGTTTTGGCACTCTCGCAATTCATCACTTATCTCCTGATCTTGATAGTTGGCGAAAAGGAAAATAAAATAAAGGAGGGGATGAAAATCATGGGCCTAAATGATTCTGTATTTTGGTAAGATTTTATAATATCTGCAAACAACTCTTCGACAAATATTTTAATTTTCAACACTGATATAATGAATGACTGATAAAAATTAATTCAGGTTAAACGTTTTCACGCCATATTTCTCTTTCCTTTCTAGGTTGTCGTGGTTTATCATCTATAGCGTCTTCGTTTTTTTGCTCTCCGCTGTTGGAGTGGTACTGCTTTTCACCCTGCAGATGTTTCAGCATACTCATTTCCTGCCGATATTCCTTCTGGTGGTGCTATATAGTTTCTCCGTAATTATGTTTGCCTTCATGATCACGCCGTTCTTCGATAAGTCACGTGTAAGTAATTTTTAACGCACGTACGGTTTCCTTTATAAATTTTAATCAAACTTTATATGCTAAAAATTTTGACTTTTCAAGATGGAACTTTTGTATGACAATATGCATGTATATGCTTAATTTCGTTCCAAATTAAAAGTTTTAGCAATATAATTATGTATTTATCACTTTTCTAACATAAAGAAAAATTATAATAATTACAATAATTACAATATAAATGATAAGATCTTCTTCTCTGTTTTAGACGGCTGGTGTCTTGGGCAACTTTGCTGTTACAATACTGAGCTTAATGTACTTCATTCAAGTATTCGTAGATGATTCCAGCTCAGTCTCCTTTTGGTTAGTCTCTTTGCTCAGCCCAACCGGAGTTGCCCTGGCGATGGATAAGGTAAGCTTCGAAGTACTTTGCGATAAAAATTCATTCCATGACAAAATTGCGACATTATCTCAACATAGTACGCAATCTTCTAATTTGGGAAAAATTAACTAAATTTTATTATATTATAAAATATATTTTATAATTTTCAATATTTATATATAAATAATTTAACAATAAAGTGTGCTTTCATAGCTCAGTATGGACTAATATATATCGTGTATCTCAAAAAGCTCTGCATATTGTGTTGTGCAGGCTCTGGTGCTGGATTTGCAGGGCGAGGGAGTGAATTTTGATAATTTGTGGTCTGGCCCTGGGATACCTTTTGGTGGCAGTCTCATCATGATGACTCTGGATATTTTCCTATATGCCTGCCTGGCCTATTATCTCGATTCCGTGATACCAAGTACGTTGTAACATCTTTTTGTGATTTATCGCAACTTAATGCAATGTCATGCATCGTAAAAATATTCAATTTTTATTGAAAAAATATAAGACGATATTTCCTTCAAATAATTTTTACGCGCATTCTTTGAAACAATTTATTTACGCGCGAAGATACATATCTTTGTATAAAATCTAACGAAATTAATCTCTAGGTGAGTACGGAACCAAGAAGCCACCTTGGTTTTGCTTTGTTCCTGGATTTTGGTGTCAGAGAAAGGTTCAAAGGGTAGGTAAATTACATTTTTGATATTTGTGTATTTTTACAAATACATTGAAATAATGTTTAAAATCAATGCAAAAATTTGAAAATCTTAATAAAAACATTTAAAAGACGTTTTAATGTGTTCTATTAGAATTGCATTATTTTTTTTCTTTTTTTCAATAATCGAGGAATAAATATAATGAAATAATGAATGAATTGAATATGGCCACAGAATTCTCTTCAGGTACCATCGTCGAACGGCGAGTCAAACTCCTTCATCCCAGGCGAAGAAACGAATCGCGATGTGGAGCCAGTGGTACGCGAGATGAAAGGCCGCGAAGCGATCAGAATAGCCGACCTCTACAAATCGTATCACAAATGCAGGAAACCGGAGATCAAGGCTGTGAACGGTATCAATCTTACCATTTACGAGGGCCAGATTACCGCCATCCTGGGACATAACGGCGCTGGCAAGACCACTCTTTTCAACATTCTCACGGGTCTGACCTCACCTACCGCCGGCACGGCTCTCATATTCGGCTACGATGTGCGCGACTCCAACGACATGCGAGCAATACGCAGCATGACAGGGGTCTGTCCGCAGCACGACATCCTTTTCGATCTGTTGACACCACGTGAGCACCTCGAATTCTTTGCTGCTGTGCGTGGTATTCCACATTCAATGATACAACACGAGGTACGCACATATGTTTGTTTGTTTCTTCTTTTTGAAACAATCATTTAAAGACGATCATATGAATACAATAATTCTAATATGTATATAATAGAAGTATAGTAACATATTATTATGGTGCAATATAGACAATAATACTGTATTGTATTCGATTTAAGAATTTAAAATTTTGATAGAGCATGAATAGAAGAATAAATAAAAGAGAGAATAAATGAAATTAATTATTTAATTACTGTTTTAATTGTTAGGTGAAGAAAACCCTGAAAGATATCGATCTAGTCGAGAAAGCGGATACTTTCGCAAAATACTTAAGCGGTGGACAAAAGAGGAAGCTATCAGTAGGAATCGCCATCATCGGCGATCCCAAGATCATTATTCTCGATGAGCCTACTGCCGGGGTGGATCCCTATTCGCGGAGGCAGATGTGGTCTTTTTTGCAATCTAGGCGACATGGAAAGGTGATTCTGCTGACGACTCACTTCATGGATGAAGCAGACATTCTTGCAGACAGAAAAGCAGTGATCAGCAAAGGAAAACTCCGATGCTGCGGCAGCTCTCTGTTCTTGAAGAACAAGTTTGGCATTGGATATCATTTGACGTAAGGATGCTAATAATATTTCGTTGTGTTATACACAAACATTCAATTCTATTAATCCTATTATTTCGACTTAAAAGTTATGTTTTGAAGATTTTTCTTAGTTTGTGCATTTATTTTAATAAAACTAAATAATTTTGATGATCTAATTACTTTCTAATTACAGTTTAGTTCTAGAAGGTAACGCGAGGGAACATGCTATCAACCGATTAGTGATGTCGCACGTAAGTAAAGCGGAGAAGGCGAGACGTCACGGTCGAGAATTGAGCTTTATTTTACCGCACAATTCTGTGGAAAACTTCGCTTCGCTGTTTACTGCTATTGAGCACGAGATCAAGACCCGCTCGAGCAGACTGGGCATCAGCAGTTACGGCGTGTCGATGACTACTTTGGAGGAAGTGTTCTTGCATCTGGAGAAAGACGAGGAGACCGAGTGCACGATGGATAATCTATCGAAGAAGATGGTGCGCAATCGAGCTCTTAGCCGATCGCTCTCATTGCAGTCCAAGAGTACATCTTATCAGAGTTTACAAAACGAGGGGGTGACCGTTCAGGGCGACAGTCAAGGAAAAGGTATTCCTTCTATTACATTCTTTATCCTTAAAGTTTCTACAAACAAAGAATTTTGTTTCCCACATCAAAGGAATTAAACTTGCAATTTTATTATTTACATTTAATTATCAATTGGTATTAATTTTTATTAAATATTTAAATATAATTAATTAATATTAAATATTAATAATATATTATAAGACACAGAATAGAATAATAGTATCATAATATTATATAATAATATAATAATAATGATATTATGTTGAATATTAATTTATATTAAATATTAACTGAATTATTTAATAATATTATTTCATTATCAGTCAATGATGTTGTAATATTATTGAATTAGTGAATGATTTGCCGGATGGCGTTCATAACGATCGAAATCCGCCTGTGCTCGGCCTCGGCCTAGATCCCATCAAGATCCGGCCTAACTTCCTGCAGACCCTCTACGCCATGCTACGTCTAAGAGTGCTCAGACTCCTTAGAAATATCCAGCTATTGTACTTTACGATCGCCATGCCACTAGCTCTGATAGTGCTTGGTCTCTACCTGAATAGCATCCAGACCGTCGACATCAAGATGCAGTCGCTGAAACTTAATAGCCGTAAGTGGTTGCATCTTATGCAAGGTAGGAGGTAATCGCTTGGCTCGTTTTCTTATCTGCGCACTCAGTTTATTTTAGAAATTAGCATTGCACACATATTTCATATATATATATATATATATATATATATATATATATATATCAATTCTTAAAATATCTTTACCAAATCGATCAATTGTCTTAATTGCTAAGAATACATTGTTTCATGAATATACTTTGATAGAAATATAAAAGAGCGTATTACGTGTTTATGTGTCCATAAATTCACGCGAAATGCGATTAAAATCGCGTAGAAAAAAATATAAGCAACGCATAGTATATTTTGATATTATATAGAATAAAGGACCATTTCTTTATATATGTTGAAGTTCAACTTTGCGAATTTATGGAAGAGAAAGAAGAGAAGACATATAAGAAAATTTATATTGTTTACGAAATACAAATTATATTTCCTCAAAATTACTAATATAAACCGTTATTTAAAGAATGAAATAATATTGGTCCTTCTTGCAGAAACATACGGCGAAGAAACCAAGATTCTTTACATAAATAACACCGATCGCGATATCACCGAGTTGATGGACGGTATAGGTCAGAATGCGAAGCATATCGAGGAATACGATGGCAATTTTGCAAATTTATTGAACATTGCGCCGCATGTAGCCGCCTTCAACATTAATGATTATAATCTACCACGATTCAACTTGACTGTCATCTACAATGATACGATGCAACATTCCCTTCCGATCTTGATAAATATTCTTTCAAACACTTATTATAGGTAAGACTGGGATTTACAGAAAATAAATAAAGAGATTGAACAGTTTTAAAAGCATATTTAAAATTTTTTCTAACAAGATACCGAAAGTGTTAAATTTTGTGAAAAAATTTTAAATAATTGCAAAAAAGATGATATTGTATCAATGATTATTTGGCAATACAGTCACTGTAAAAATTCAAATCTCAAAATATTTTTAATTGCATAAACAAAAATATATTTGCGAGAAAGATTTGTTGAAATTAAATTTTAAATTGATTAATATTTTTGTAAGCTATAAATTTTTATTTAGATTGTCCTCAGGCAAGAACGATCCCACGCGGATCGAAGTCAAAACGCATCCCTTCCAGCAAACATCGCAACCTCAAGAGTTCAATATCGGCACGGCCAGCTGTGCTCTCTTTATCGGTATGGACTTCGTGTTATTGCCAATTACTCTAGCAGTGGATATGGTTTACGATCGTGAGGTAAGAACTTCGTCTTTAAATTCTGGCTTTACGTTGTTATATAAAATATTCGAATTTATATCTCTCTTCTTCATGTCGTATATAAATTCTTTGTTGAAGTAAAACTTTTTATATACAATATATTTTTATGCTTAGTTTTTTACCAGAAATTCAATAAAAAATTTATTAACATAATGAATTTAATATCTAAATTAAAATTTTTTAAAAATGTTTTCCATTAAATTTCAAACGAATTAAATTTATTAGGATCTTATTCTCGATATTGCATATCTAATTGAACTTTTCTAGTTTATAAAATCGAGCGAAATAGATTCAGAAAATATAATGCGATTAAAACATGATGACTTTGAAAACATGCGATTCTTTTGGGAGATCTTATGTAATACATTGGTTTAATGACTCATTTAAAATATTTTTCAGATCAAAGCGAAAAACCAGCTTCGTGTGAATGGCCTGTCGTTTCCTATGTACTTCCTCAGCTATTTTATCGTTCTGGTTGGCTTGATGAGTTTCATCTGCCTGTGCATCCTCGGCATCATATTCCTTTTCGACGTACCTTCATTGCAGGAGCTGCCGGCTATCATCACTCTCAGCACCCTCCTCATGCTTTACTGCCCATCATCTATTCTCTTTTCGACCTGCCTCAGCTATATCTTCGACAAGATGGATTCCGCGCAAAGCATCCTGCCAAATATCGCAACTTTCTTCGGATTGATACCATTCCTTCTCGTCATGATCCTTGATATGCTGGGAGTTGGTAAATAAATAGATTATAATTGAGATACTCGTAGATGACTTTAAGTCTAATACCATCAGGCTCTCATATTTATATCTATTTAAACAATCTTCATAAATCTTCCTTATAAACTTTTGATTTTAAATTTATGGTATAATCATAATTCTGTCAAAATCAAAATTATTTATATATTTTTCAAATAGTCAAGTTACAAGCTTTAATTATCTTCTACTCGATTACCTATTTATCAAGATTGGTAACATAAGAATTACAAGATCATTCACTACATTATCTGTTGCTCAAGGTGGGACAGCGGCGTTCGCGTTGCACGTGGTCTTCTCTCTATTGAACACCATGTATGTACCATATGCAGCAGTATACTATGTAGACCGCGTTTACCTAATGTGTTCCATCAACGCTGCTTGCCATCATCTCACCATGTCCGATTATCTCACCACGGAGATCATGTTGATGGCTTTTGGCGTGTTGTTGCACATCCCACTCTGGTTCTTCGTACTACTTTTATTGGACATTAAGAAGAGCGGTGGTAATGTCAGCGATTTCTTCAAATACTTTCTGGTTAGTATGAATTTCACTTTACCTCTTACATTTTTTATTCTTAATCATGTTCTTCATTTGATATGCAAATGTATAATTTAGAGTCACACGGTGTTGTAGTATAGTTTGTAAGGATATTCTGTAAGAATAAATCAGATTTGAATGAATGATATTTAAGAATTAGTCTTAAAAACAAATTTAAAAAATCATTAAAAATATTTTTGACATTTCTGTAATTATGGAAAATAAGACGTCATTTTTTTGTAGCGTAATGGTGGCTCTATTGGTGAAGAAATAATGGAAAATTCTGATATCGGTGAACACGAGGATACGGATGTGAAAAACGAACGACAGAAGGTCTTCAACCTTATTACATCATCGGCCGTTCAAGAGCCGCCTGTAGTATTGGTACAAGTGAGTATAATACAAACCGAATTATTGTTTATAATATGAATAGAAATCGGATCACCAATAGCAAATTTTGTAAAAATAAAATTTAAATGAAATTTACATAAAATTTTATTTAAACACAATAGTTAAATCGTTAATATATAATCCAATTATTATATATTTTTATTCCAATATTATAATTAGAATTATATTTCTAACAACTCTGATTATAAATTTATCATTTCAATTTCAAATTTTAATTTTCAAAATACATCGAAATATTTAGATTATAACTATATCTCTGTATTCAAATAATATTATCTCTTTGACAAAACTAATCATTTTTTTGTAACTTAAAACAAATGTATTTATTGATTTATGTTATTTATAAAATATATAAATATAGAACCTGCGAAAAGAGTATCGCCAACGAGAAGCAGGATCGTCCTGCAATTGTTGCTTGAAGCGCGAGGAGGAAGTCGCGCAGAAGCAACGAAAGATCGCCGTACGAAATCTCTCGCTGACAGTGGAACCGGGCGAGGTCCTGGGCCTGCTAGGCCACAATGGCGCCGGCAAAACCACGACCATGAAGATCATCATCGCCGAGGAAGCGGCGACAAGAGGCAGGGTACAGATCGGCGGCCACAATATCAATACCAGTATGGCAGAAGCTTTCCGGCAGATGGGCTATTGCCCTCAACACGACGCTCAATGGAAAAACATTACCGTACGAGAGCATCTCGAATGCTATGCCGCGATTCGTGGGGTTCCATGGAGCGAGGTCAATAGGTGAAAAAATCTTTTAATATTACCGTAATCTAATTGTGAACAAATGTATACAATAGCGAATTATAAATAACTTCTAGAGTTAGAGAGAACTTTTATTTATAGCGGATTAAAATTTTATTATAGCATCTAAAATTGTATAATATTATTAAATTTTAAAATATATATGCGTTTGTGTGCGATCTTCTATGTAACACATAATCAGTTTAGTTTCTCAGCAATATCTAAATTTAACAAAATATTTTTCTAATATACAGAAATATTTTTTAATATACATTATTAGATCTTGATTATCATAAATGCTTTTTTCAGTATCTCAATAATTATAACTATATAATTATTTTTATTTGATTTATGTCGCAGAATTGTGGACCTATATCTGTCCGGTCTACAAATCCATGAACACGCCGACAAGCAGACTCAAGAATGTTCCGGTGGAACTAGAAGAAAACTCAGCTTCGCGATGGCGATGGTCGGTGGACCCAAGGTGGTTCTCATGGATGAACCGAGTACAGGCATGGATCCTAGGTCAAAAAGATTCCTGTGGGACACGATTCTCGCTAGTTTCCAGGTTAATAGCATCATGTGTTATTACATATACATATATAATTAAAGCTTTATTTTCTATTCTCATTTAACATATTTTTGAAGTAAAGCATTTTTAAAAACACTTCTAAAAATTAATTTAAGGAAGAGGAAAAATAGCAGTATAAAATCACTATATAAATAAATGATATAAATAAAAGATTAAAATTGGAATATATAAAATATTGATAAATAGTAAGAGAGTTTATATGAAGAATATTTTTTTTAATATCCAGGGTGGCAGGGGAGCCATATTGACTACCCATTCTATGGAGGAAGCCGATGCTCTGTGTTCAAGAGTCGGCATAATGGTGAAGGGTGAGTTGAGATGCATCGGCTCGACTCAGCACCTGAAGAATCTTTACGGCGCCGGCTACACTCTCGAGATGAAGCTGCTGGGCGGTGATTGCACGCCAACAACTCCCTCCGGCGACAGGATCGCTACTTTGAAAGAATTTGTCGCTGGTCTCTTCCCCGATGCCACTTTGGAGGAGAGCTTCGCCGATCGGCTCGTCTTCGCCGTGCCCCAACACGCTGTGAACTCGCTGGCCGAGTGTTTTATGCAGTTGGAAAAAGGTGAGGAAATGGTGATTTAATGAAAAAATTTCTTTGGAATCTGATAATCAATGTGCTAATGAGCCTAAAGAAAACAAAAAATCTAAAAGTTTAAAGAACGTCTGGGCAAATTAAAGAATTAGAGAAATTTTATTGGTTTTTGAATTGAGATATTTTAACTTAAACATTCTTAATCTGAAATTTAATCTGAAATTTTTTAACTGAAAAGAAACTTTATTTGGCAATTAAAGTTTTAGTTTTTTGTCAAATCTTAAGTCTTAAGTAAAATTTTAAATCGAGTAATTTCTAATTTACGAAACTTTAAACTTGGAGACTTTTTCTATCCGCAATTAAAATAATTAAAAGCGTTTAAAATATTATATATGAGATTTTAAAGCTTGGTTCTTTTGTATCTATATCAGAAGTTCTTTGATTGAAAGAGATTTAACGAAATATAAGATTCGAGATTATAGTTTGAAATTCATTCAGTTATAGGATTTAGGATTTCAAGTTTTATGGCAAGGCAATTGTGATGGAAACTTTTGTAATTCTATAAAAATTTCTGTTTACAGCCAAACTCGAACTGGACATAGAAGAATATAGCTTTAGTCAAACTACTCTGGAACAAGTATTCCTCAAGTTCTCGCACTACGACGAGGGCAACTCCGTGGAATGATGATTCGTAGTGCTAATATATCGTTGTTATGTGATAACCGGTGAAGTGAATTCGCAATCAGTGTGCGCGAAAGAAGTGTGCTCGAATGACGAATGTTTTTAATCGCTGAATTTTGGAAACAGTCTCCGTTGTTTTCATTAGTGGATTATGCGGTTGCGATGACATGCATCGACGTCTTCTTGCTTCAAGGTATTGTCCAGATGAACATGACGGTTATCGAACGGTTCTATTATATTTCGAAGAAGTAGCAATGTGACACATCGTCTCGTGCCTTCAAATCCTTGGAGGGTCAATGAAGAAACGACAGTATGAGATGAGAAAAGTTCGTCAATAGTTTTAATTATCTTTCAAAGTGTTACATCAAGTTTATCCTATAAGTCACTCGGAAACTTGATGAAAAATAAAGAAATAACAAGACGGAACAATTATCTACGAATCATAGCGTTTAGGATGACGAAGAATTATTTAATATTGTTCTAAAGTATTAAAGAAGTAATTATAGAAAAATTGAAGAAACAATTAGTCGGAAATGGTTGCGTTGTGCTTAAAAAAAATAAGTCATAGATTGTCAACTGTTTCAGAAAACAAAGAATGACGAAGATAGCTATATCACAATTTAGATTTGTGAAGGAATGTTAAAATAATTAGTCGCTTTGTAGAGCTCCAAACTGTTGGTGGGACGACGATAGGACGATAAAATTATGAGGGAACAGTCGCTAATCTTAGAATGTGAGTTTCGAAAGAGTATTAAATCACAATCTCTCTCATCTTGCAATTCTATAGAAAAATGACGGAAGCAGTTAGACGACAGAAAACGAACAAGAATTAAGATGAGAGTTCGACTCTTTGTTTCGAAATGTTGGAGGAATCATGAATAGAGAATTTAACAATCGCGAATATCAAGATGACAGAAAAATCGTCTCATCGCTGCAAATTATCTCGATGAGATACTTAGAAAAATAAAAGAATGTTTATTAAGCCTTGGCATACTTCAAGATGTATCAATTGAAGAAAATAGCTGAAGAACGATAGAATGAAATTATTCTCTCAGATGGTGCTTCGAAAAAGTGTTAAGGCGATGGACTGCCTTCCGATTCCGAAATGTTGGAAAATCGCGGAGAACAGTTAGGAACAAATAGGAAGCTATAATAGTAGCGTTTTGCTTTTTGAGAGAACGTCGTGACAGAGATGAGTGACGAGAGAGGAGAGACATTGACGATAGCGTACTGTTTATGGCGAGTGAATATATATGAATCGTCTCTTTCGCGAAAGAAGACTCTCTCTTAAAACAATTTTGTGTATTTATCCTGTAAATAGTCTCGCGTGGAGATGCATCACGTCGTGAAATAATTATCGCGGCTTGAGCACGATCTCCGTTTTGACGATGGAGCATCATCTCAAGCTTAGTTTTACGCTCGACATTCTACGCACGACGTTTTTATCCGATATCTCTCATCGGTATTGTCTTATTGTAACATCGTGTCGTGCAAAAACCCTCTGGTTGTCGCGAACCTCGGCGTTCAAGAATAAATATCGAGCGTAAACGAGGCATTTACGCGAGGCATAAGTATTCTCGAGGCATAGTATCGAAGTTACATACTGATAGTCCACTTTGTATTTAAACTTATAGATAAAAAAAAATAGATCTCGTATCGATATTGCACTGGAATTGGAGCGCATGTTCTACGTTGTTTTTGGAGCGGGACTCGGCCTCGTCACTTTGCAGTCACTGTAAGTTGATTTGGATCGGTTCGAGAAAACGATGTCCAGCGAAATTTCAATACAATTTTAGCTGACTACGTTTTCTTTTTCGAAAACAGATTTTTATATAATAATCATTTAAATAATTATTGAATGCGATACTAATATTCTATTTTATTTGCAATCTTACTTGGAAAAAGATTACTATTACTATCTTGCATAGAAAATAGTTAATTAAAAACTAAAAGATAAAATAGATAAGGATATGTAAGTTTTAAAATGTATTAAAGTTCCATTAAAACTATTTAAAAATTTTCTTTTTAGTACTTTCTAGTTAGTAAAAATGTTCTTTTTATACATTTAGATTAGTTAGATTTTTCTAAAGAAATTAAATAATGTGAATTAAATTTAACACATACACACAATACACAAAAAATAATGTGAATTAAATTTAACACGTACACACAATACACAAAACACACACACTTATAGAAAAGTATACACATTTCTACTAAATATTAAAATAAATTTCTATCAAACATTAATAGATTTATATATTATAATACGTCATTTCAGAGAAGAATTAGAAAAGATATAACTTTTCTATCAGTTGTAAGATATAGAATAATATTAAAATAGTGAGGAAAAATTAAAAGCAATCTAAACATTTTTAATTCATCTTTTATTTCAAAAATGAAAAGAGGATCTGATTTACAGAATAAAATAAATTATCGTTTTTTTTTAGATCCATACATATATATATCTTTTCTATTTTCTACAATAGATATTATAATCAGAAGTACAGAGTACACTATATTTTCACGTAAGATTGCAAATAAAATACTAGATGAGAAAATCGAAAATAAATTTATAATGCAGGATTTCAAATTATTTGTTTTTTGAGCCGAGTTATTGAAGTGGTGACGATATGAGTCCCGCTGGGCTTGTGCTGGATGCATCAAGTGTACGAGAGGTGTTTGAGAGAAGTATACCTTTCATTATTTAACCTTTTAGATAATTAAGAAATCCCAAGTTTTGTAGATATTTAGAATTTTTTAATATGATATATTAATAAATCGGTGTAAGTTCGGTATTTTTATATCTTTTGTAATTTATGGAAAATTGAAAAAAATATTTTCTCTGGAGGTCACAAGCAGAAGAGAATTTGAAAACGAAAATGAAACGAAAATTAACGATTTATATAACAAATTAGTCATTTCTAATTAAATTAAAGGAGCGAACATTATATGTGTTAGTTATTCTCAATTAATGCTGCGATATTCCACACATACACACATATACACAGAAATTAAACGATATTTTATTCTCTTTTGATAAACGACAAGATTAATGTGCCTTGAGTTTAGCACATAATCCAAAAGAAAACCAAAAACAAAGAACAATTATCGTTCTACTTGTAGTAAAGTACAATTGTTTCTTAGAGTTAGGAAGGTAATGTAACAAATTTTTTTCTGTTTTTTTTTTTTTGGTAAAAATTCGATACGATTTTTCCATTAAAAAAAATCTTGTATTATTTCTCAAACATCTCTCGCGCATTTTCTATATTTAAAAAGTACCCTCTAAGAAGGGCCATAGTTCTAAAGAGGAACTGTAAGAATGATACAGCTTATAGTTTCGAGTGCGCGCAACAACTAGAACGTTTTTCTTGAGTGATAAAAAAAACAGTCATATGGACACTTTACTGTTAAACATCGATCGAATGATACAGCGAATGACACCAAGAGAAAAACGGCCGCGGCTGAAGATATTGCTAGTATATATGGATAATAATATAGGTTTAATTCTTTGCACTCGTCAGAGATCTATTTCAATCAATTGCATCATTGTTATTAAAAGATTTTCTCTCTTATAGAGAGAAATTTATAAGAGATTAAATTAAATTAATGGAAAAAGAATTAATTATCATTAGTATAATAAAGGAGAAATTATATGTATACGTACACATGTATATTTATTTTATCTCTTTTTATCTAATAACGTTTTCGTATATTGTATAAAGAATTTATGTGTATAATAATTATATGATTTAATTACATGATTTAATTATATGATATAATTTAATTATATGATATAATTTAATTATATGATATTATATAATTATATGATATATTTTATTTTATGAAAATTTTAATAATGATTATATAATGATTATACAAAATAATAAATACAAAATTAATATGACAAAAATATTATTTGATGATGTTAAATTAGAAAAAGAGAGAGAGAGAGAGAGAGAGAGGGAGAGAGAGAGAAAGAGAAAGGGAGAGGCAAGTAATTAATAATATTAAATCATTTTTTATTCGAATTGCTTTTTAAATTGCATGTATTGTAACATTCAAGTGCAAAGAATTAAGTCGATCTTCTGTTGAGAATAATTTTGTATACTTTAGTCAACGTGGACTGATCAACGTTAAGCAATATAAACGAGAAAAAATTAAAATAATTACGATTAATTGAAAGCAATGAATGATAAAGGGCGTCAATTAAAATGCGATCGGTCATGTTTTCGATCGAAAAGTATTTTAGTCTCTTTAAATGAACAAATTATTTGTGACATGTATCCACAAAAATGGTGATGTATTCGAGAGAAATAATTTACATATTGTTTATAAATATTATACATTTACAGTCTACCCTAAAAAATTTCACTGTTTTTTCTTTTAATGATATTTTTTCATAAATTTTGAATTGATTTTTCCTTAAGCAAAAATTTGATAAAATCTATATTTGCCTTCCATTAATTGTTTTATCTTTAACATTATGCCTTACATTGAATGGAATGTCTATTCATTAAAGAGATGAGTTTGCGTTTTTCAAATTGTGTCTAGTTAAAATGGCAAGAACTGATTTGCATGCTTACAACTTTTTTCGTGAAAGAAAAAAGAAGGAGATATAGTGAATCTGTGTGTGCGTGTGGAGTAGCTTGTATATATAACATTATTATCTCAGCGTTATAAAATAACTTGGAAAGGGAGGCAAACTCATGAAATGTGTATATAAACTTTCTTGGTCCTGTAAAAAGAAAAAAGTAATATGCTTTTTATACAGATATCGTTCACCAAAATTTTAGAATTCCGCTTTTATTAATTTACAAAATATAATTGAGATGATAAGCATATTTATCGTCCAATTTTTCAAGTAACATAGTCAAAATGAATAAAATTGTGTGTATCCAAGATCGAACTAAAAATGATCGATTTATCTCTCTATTAATATAGTGAATTTATACGGAATCAAATATTTATTGCAGAATCCCTGATGTTTTCGCGATATTTACATTATCATTTTTCACTTTTTTATTTCCATAGATATATATTTATTATAGATAGATATATATTTAGAAGAGAGAAGCATTATTTTCCAAATTTATTTCTAATTAATTTTTCTAATTTAGTATTCCACATTGTTTCACATCTATCTGATGTACTTTGATTGTCTATATATAATTAATATATATAATTAGTATAATTATGTAAATATATGAAATTATTATTATATAGCTTCGGGATATTATATAATTTTTATTGCTATAATTTATTATTTATTTCCTATTTCGTAAATTATTATTATATAATTGTGTACTTTCCGAGGAGTTTTAAGGCTCCTGTTTCTTCTCCATGCAGTTATATGTATTGTATTATAATTCGTCACAAACAGGAAAACATAATTTTTTTTCGCAGGTTACATCGAAATAAATTAATCTTTTCGCATGCTATTCTTTTATTATTATATTATATTGCGCATTACATGGATGTATAATTTTTTCTATATATATTCTATATCTCAAACGAAAATAAACGGCAAATATGATCAAGTTTTACGATTATAATTCACAAATTGAAAAGAAAGTTTCTTCGATTATATTTTATAATAATCTATACATATAGTATTAAATGCAAGTGAGAGCATGCTGATTTATTTCGATGTATTTCGTAAAAAAAATTTACATGATTTCGATAAAGAGAAACCAGGAGCTTCAAGATACTATTTACTCAACATATGATCGCATATATGCATCTCAGAAACATAAGTGCAAGGACAGAGAGAGGGAGAGAGAGAGAGAGAGAGAGAGAGAGAGAGAGAGAGAGAGAGAGAGAGAGAGAGAGAGAGAGAGAGAGAGAGAGAGAGAGAGAGAGAGAAAGAGAGAGAAAGGAAAAAATCTTTGCGTGCGAGCATTTTACTTATGAGGAAAAAAAAGTAATGATCGGAGATTTAAAAGCTTATGTTTAAATATTAATCCGCATTATTACATCCCTGCGAAAAATAGACGGATTAAAAGAAATTGACGGGAATTCAGTCTATAAAATTGTATTCTTAATCTTCAGAGATCAGCAATTTATTAAAAGTTTGAAAATTTCTTATTATATAATTTCTCATTTCCACTCTTAAATTATTGGTATCATTTTGCATTCATTACAAGCAAGATTAGAAACAATGTTTTAAAATTTAATTCATGATATAAAATATGTAAAAATATGATTAAATGTGCGAAATGTAAAAAAATTATAACGCTATTCTTATCGAATAATTAAATTAAACAATAAAAATAATAATTACGTAAATTAATAATTTTGTGTAAAATTCACACTCGTAACAAATAAAAAATACAAAGAAAAATGATACCAAATCAATTTAAGAATATTAGAATATGTTACATAAAAAATGAATTCTTGTCAATTTTCTTTTTCAAATCAGCTGTTTCTTACAGGAGTTGCACTAGATATATGTACTTCTACTTCTAGCATATCTTTCGAAGTTTTATTCGATATATACATATAATACACATCAGAAAACAATTGCCTGTCCATAGTAATTACCGAGTGGCCATTGTGTCTCCGTATCAGGACCAGTGGAGACTTTCGCGGAAGGTAACTTTGTAAAAAAAAAATATATGATTTAGATCGAACTAGGCTCTTCTCGTTGATACTTTCAAGCTTATGTAGAACTGTTTCTTAGGATTTTCAACAAAAATTTCTTAAGATAGAATAAAATCCGAAAGAATTTCGTACGATAAACTCTTTGGACGAATTATTTATGTAATTCTGTATCCCGCTTCCAATTTTCATTCTCTAACCAGAAAGGAAAAAACATCCTGTGCAAATCTTTATCTTTGCTGACTATTTACAATCAAATAAATAAGAGTTAAACGTTCTAATTAAAATCAATAAAATATGAGTAAAGACTTACGAGAAAAATTAATACGTAGAAAATTTAATAGATAATATTTTTCATTTAAATGCAATGATTTATCATCCGTCTATTTTTTATTCAATCATAATTGAATTGTTTCGCTATTGGCATTCAATGAAATTTATATATATTTTCGTTTAATTTGTATTTTCTAAAGAAGAATTATAATAATGATTGAATTTACATTAGATATATAATTATCCTTATATTTATATATATTGTTACGCCCGGGGCGAGGACTTCGATATATATCGAAGGCGCGCTCAAAGAAATCGGCCGTTCTCGCGAAACGCGGGAAATAAATAAGCACTTCTAAGAACAAAGACACTTTAATGCAACACGAAACACAGAACCGAAATCACAAAACGTTAATAACATTGAATAATAATGCAACGGAATGAACGACGCGCGCGGAGACAGTCCTCTTCCGTGGACGAACTTCCTGCTGACAAAATAACGGATGGCGAATACATGCGTAGGGACGGGACACGGGGGCGCAACACTATATAAATATATAAATATATATATATATATATTTATATATATACATATATATAAAATTTTATACATGCATTGTTTCAAAATATATTACTTATTTTTTTAATTAATTTCAAACGACTTAAAACATTAAAATAAATAGTTATAAAGCTTATTTTGTTCGAAATGTCAAAATAAATATATTAATTTAATTTTTAATACATAATTTTATATATAAAAAATTGAAAGAATAAATTTTTCTGCAAAAAACCTCATTAATCATTCATGACATATATGTATACACATGTGCTACTTTTCGTATTATACTTACTAATTTATATTTGCATTACGACATAGTTAGAATTCACCAAAACTAGAAAAACAGTTTTAAACACGTGATTGAGTGAAATAAAAATTTATAAAATAGATTGTTTTCCGTTACATAAAGTTACCACTGATGACTTTTCAAAATTACTCACATGTTCTTTTATCTTTTTATATGAAAGATGTGAATATATATATACAGGATAGTTGCATTTATAATTAGTATCTTAAAATTATAGTGAAAATATCTGAAAATTTTTAATAGTACGATGCATAACGAGTAATATAATAATCAAATGTTGAACTATTTAATGAACAGGATATGAATTGTTAAGGTATGAATTGTTAGCGGAGAATAAAATATGAGTTACTTCGATTTAGTAATGAATACAGTTTATTATGTTGAAACAATGATTGCTATAACATTGACATTCTTTGCAATTAAATTAATATATTTTTTAATTTGAGATTTATATATAGATATATATATATATATATATATATATATATATATATTTTTTCTCTTACTATGTTTCATCAATTTTTTTACTTTTAAAAATATATAGAATTGTGTTATTACACAATTCTTAAATAAAATATATAAATTTAATATCTTATATTTTATTTTACTGATTTCATTCGGTTCCAATTCTAATAAGCAATTTTCGATGAAAACCATTAAAATATTCATTAACAACAAAATTTATTTTATTATTGTATAATATCGAGTAATCTTGTACAGGACATTACTGTTTATACATCAGTTTGCCTGTCTCGTATATTATAAGCAATAGACAAAGCAAATTTTTGCGTGAACCATACCGATTAAAATTAAATAAATATTTATAAGCTTTAATGATTATCGTACAAATTGTCAATTGGTTCCGAAATGTAATCGAAAATGAATTAAATTATATCTTCGAGACATACATCTCAATGCAAGTTTTCAATTCGAAAATAATAAAAATAGAAGCGATTATGTGATTCCTATCCTCCAGAATGTATGAATATAATCGAATATTATTCACGTCCGATAGATTCAACTTTAAACAACAATCGAATCTGATTGACTGAAGAAGTCAATCAGATTCAGTCAATACAGTTGTTTCAGCCTAATGTGATTTGTTGATTTAGATTAGTGATTCCCAAATTTTTGATCATCTTTTCATAAATTTCATCTAAGAATGTTCTATTTTTTGCCTATAAAAAGACATTCTTCGAGACAGGAAATATCATTTCGAGGAATAATAATCACTTTGGGAACCGTTAATGTTTAATCTTCGTGCAGGTTTACTTTAAAAACGAGATCAAAATAATAAATCGAGTACAAATCTTTATACGCCTTATAAAAAATTAAAAGCTTTTCATCTTATATATTCGCATTGAGCGACTAAAAATGCAACCTATATAATTGTTTCTCTCTTTTACATTCATACACGCATACATATAGACACATTTTACTCTCTTTTTATATTTTTAAGAATGCACTCTATTTAGCATTAAAACATTTGATTGATCAATTTAACAATAAAAGAGACAAAAATCTTTTCTCGACTGATCAATGAAATAATTTCGCGGAAATTTATAACACTAAATAGAGTTCATCTTATGTCAGTTGGCAAAATAAAGACTGCAACGCATAAAAAAAAAACAACCAATAAATTTAAACGATAAGCAAATCGCTTGTTCTAAAAAATTCTTGATTGTTATTCGCTTAAGTTTCTACAACTTATTCTTTTTTTTTCATGCGTATTGATCTTCATAAGAACTTACTAAAATTCTTGATTTATCATCGCGTATCAACGCATGCGGGTACAATCGCGCCGTGTTTCATAAAAAAGTCAGAGTAATAAATAAAAGATTACAATATAAAAAAAGAAACAAAAATATGTGTACGTAACACATTACAAAACGTTACTCTACGTCGCGGTGGCGTATCTTTTTAGCGAATCAGCACCTTCTTCTTCATGTGGACAGGTACAGTCGATGATAGTCGTTGGCGCCAAAAGCGCAGTTACATTTCGGACATTTCCGTTGTCGCGTCTCGTAACGTGTGCGCAAACAATCCCAGCAAAATACATGGAAGCACTTGGTGAGTACAGCGTCCTTGCGCTTCACTTTGCAAGACGGACAAGTTAATGTCTCCTTATATTCCCGCAATTCCTCTGCCATAACTTCATCCAATGTTTCGGCGAGTTCAATCTTCTTCATACGCTCGACCTTGCGTCTAAGTTGCGCTATTTCTTCCTGCAATATTATTGCAATTTATATACATATATAATATTAATAATTTGCGTAAGAATATATGTATACACAAAAATAATTCAAAATATACAAGAAAAAAATAAAGCTCTTTCTATTATAGAATATAATATTTTAAATCATAAAGTATACCTGTAATCTTTTAGTTTTATATGCTTCAGCTTCCAAAGAGCTTGTTTTCTCTGCTACAACCTGTTGCGCCTCCTTCATTTGAGAATGATATTTTTCTATAACAATAAGAGTGTTACATCATTTTTTGTTGGGAGTAAGATATAAGAATTATTCAGTCTTTTTTAATATTCCTGATTTCATATTGCAATCATATATTGAATTAATATTAGAAACAAGAAAAATAATATAAAATTGTTTCTTACATAAAATATATCGTAATAAATTAATTGTGCTTTTATTTTAATTTAGCTATAAATAATTCAATATGATAAACGAGCTTAAATAGTATTTATCTTTGTCTATTTTTTTAATTTATTTAACAAGAATGATATAGATAAGATAGAAGATGTCCACTAAATAGTATAAATACTTTGGATTTCTATACAATTATAAAAGTTTGCGTAAAGTCTTACCAAGATGGAGTTTTAGATCGGCAGCCGATTGTGCGCTCTCTATTGCTTTTCGTTTGTGCATTTCCATCGCCTGCTGTCTTACAGCTAATTCCTTCTCCACCGTGGCGAGAGAGTTTTGTAAGAGACGTTCTTTTTCTTCTAACTTTCGTACGACGACGTTTGCTGCTTCCACTTGCGTTGTCAGTGTGGATACTTGCTCCTTTAGCACATCCTTTTCTTCTCTTGCGAGCTTATGCAGTTGATTACTCTTAATCCGTTCTGTCATAAGTTTGAAATTTGCATCGTCCTTCTCACGCAACTGCTGTATCAATCTCGAATTCTGCTCTTGCATGTCCTCAAACGCTTGTCCAGTCACTTCCATCTCATTCAGAAGTGCTTCCTCTTCCTGCAGCCATACACAATTCTGTTCAGCGTTACATCTCCGTTCATTTAACATCAGAGTAACTTAAATTATATCCCCTACGGTCTAATAGAAGAGCTTCTAAGATGATATAAAAGCTTTCACACGACAAAGATTATTAAAGTACAATAAAAACAAGATAATTCTCAAGTCAAATATTTTGCAATTAATTTTACCTCTATAATTAATTAAGATAATACATAAGGTTCGCTCTAATCGTTTTATATATATTAATTTGTTTAAATATTGACAAATAGAATCAAAAGCTATAAGAAAACTATAGCAAATTTATGAAGAGTGATCTACCTGTTTTTGACCAGCAACTTGACGTTGCAAATTGTACGCTTGTTCCTCCAACTTTTTAATTTTTATTTGCGCGTCTTCATCGGCTAACTTTTTACGTTCCTCGCGTTTACTTTCCTGCAAAAACAATAGTACAATTGATTATTATATTATTATTTAGAAATAAAACAAAGTACGAATACAGGTATCTATGCGATAACCGATAACAATATTATATAGTAAAATATTTTAATATTTGAGTTTTTCTTGATCAAAAATATCGACTGATCATAGTAATTTCATATTTATTTTATTTATTATATCTATCACGTTATTTTGTTATATCATATATATATATCAAAATGTCGTAATTGCTACAACATACTTGAATTTTTTTAACTTGCTGTCGTAAATCCTCCAACTCTGCTCTTGTCTTGCGTTCTGCAGCCATTAATTGTACTTTGTCTCGTTGCTCTTTTCCAACACCTTTATACATGTCTAAGAGAAGTTTCATCTCTTTCATTTCATTCACTGCCTTTCTGTAATCGGATATTTATTTTTTTTTATTTCTTCTTATATAGAAATTATATATTATCTGACAATAAAAATATTTGTATTTTATTTTAAAATGTTAAATGTCTATGAACGTACTTGAGTTGTGCCTTTAAGTCCCTCACAATCTCGGATTCCACCATCTTTCCGTCTTTGGTGCGATGCGCAGGATCGCGGTGCTCGGTTTTCACAGATTCTTTTTTGATATCCTTTTCACGTTTAATGTCTTTTTCCTTTTTTAAGGTTGGCGAAGTTAACGTTAGAGAATCTGGTGTTCCTTTGTTACCCTCATTCTCTCCCACTTCGATAGTTTCCACCTCTTCGTCAGCACCAGATTCTCTCTTTATGGTAACACTACTTTCTTCTTTTATCTATTTGTTATTAAAAAAAATATAAAAATAATAGTAAGCAGTAAATGCAATCATAGTCGTATAAAATAGTTGAATAGTTCAATATATTAATTGTAATATTTCTGGATGACCTTTCAGAATTTTATTACATACATACAAACAATAAAATGCGTAAAAAAAAAAACAACTACATTTTAAAACATATTTTATATAACAGAACATGTTTTAAAAAATTATATAATTTTTTTTCAAATATATATATTATTATACCTGTGTAGAACCTGGCAAGGAGTTTGATGCATCCTCCTCTTTTCCACTGCCATCTGAATTATTTCCTTCCTTGTTTTCTTGAGATGTTTGTTGGCCTAATTTTGCTGTCAATTCTTCTACTTCTCTTTTTAACTAGAAATATTTAATAAAAATATAATTATTTAATTATTTTATGCATTAATTCTCTATCATATGTAAAATCTTTTTCATTATATAAATTTTTAATCTAAAGAACTGAAATTAATTGTACACAATTTTATTTAGATAAAATTAAAATTAACAATCACATGTAATATAAATAAAATACTAAAATACTAAAAAATGTTCAAAAGTTAATTAAAAACTTATGCTCTATATGATTATATACATATGTGTACCCGAGGTATTTCAGTAGAAGCTTCCTTATACTTTCGTTTATAACGATGCACTTCTCCCTTCAATTGCTGATTGTGATTCTGAAGAGAGGTAATTAAATGTCGCATTTCTCGATTGATCGGACCTGTTTGTTCATTAGCTGCTAGATTCTGTTCAAACTCGATGCGAAGCATCTCGTACTCTTTGCGTAATTGCGCCAAGACATCTTCGAGTTGTATACATTCTCCGCGCAATTTTTTTTGAGCCATTAATTCTTCACTCTATATAAAGAATATCGTTTTGATAAATATTAAATCTTGATTTTTATCCTCATAAACAGACTTTAAATATCCAAAGTATTTACCTCCATCATCTCAATATGACGCAAATGTGCATTCTTGCTCGACTGCAATTGTTGGCGAGCATCATCTAATTGTGTTTTTAATTGCATGGATTCATTATATAATACAGAAAACTGCGATTGCAAACATTTGTACTCTGTTGTTTCCACAATTACCGATTCGGGAAGCTGTCTTATCTGAAACATTTAACATACAAATTCTATGTTACTTCTATTTCTATTTATTGTAAATAACTGAAATAACTGACGAAGCTAACATAACATAAAGTTATATTAAAGTGATTTATAAATACAATTTAGGATAAAATTTACTTACATCCATTTTCAATTTTTCTACTTCTTTCAAGGTGTCGCGATGTTGCTGATGTAATTTATCCAATTCCTGCAGTCTGTTGTTAGCTAATTCACGTGTCTCTTCAAGCTCTCTTTGTAAGTCTTCCAGCTATAAATGTAAAATACATATAGAGAAATTAATTCCGTATAAAATTAACTTATATATATAATTTTTTACATAGGAAGAAGAGATTTTTTACTTTAGTCTGTGAAACGCTAGAAGCAACCAAAGTGTTCGGTTTGTTGCTGCCCTTTTCGTCTGTACCGTGAATTTGCTGAAATGCTTTCAACTTTTCAATCGCTTCACCAAGATGATGTTCTAATTTATCGTTCCTTGCCCGCACTTTGTTCAATTCATATTGCAAATCATCCACTTGATTCCGTAATTCTGCTACAAGAGTATCTTTTCCCATTATAGTATCTTGCAATCGTGACATCTATGAATAAATATATTTATATAAAAGAATGTGCTTTTTCCTCTATTGAATTAAAATTTAACGACCTATAGCTGTTAATACAATCAATATAATAAAAATCAGAAAGTTTGATATAAATAAAACAGAAATCAATTACCTTCAATGAACTAGTGTGATGTTTTTCATGTAATTGTAGATTTAACACTTGTAAATTTCTATTTTCCATTTGAATTTCTGCATTAGCGCGACGTACAACTTCGTCAATATTTGGTGCCTCTTCTGTATAATAATATTTCATATATTAATCATATAATCATGTAATTATATAATTTCTTTGCAATAATTATCATATAATCATGTAATTATATAATTTCTTTGCAATAATTATATATAATACATCTAATAAAGTTTTTTCAGAATTTCAGAAAATTTCACAAGAAGATTACTACAAAAGTTATTTAAAATAAACTGCAAGCATCTAGTTCAAGTTGCTCAAAAGCTGTATTGAGATGTAATAGAAAGAAATTCTTTCAATATACTGTACTACATAAGTTACTTCAATATACTTACCACCATCAAACTCTCCTTTGAGTGCAAGAGTAATCTTTTCATTTCTTTGAGACAAACGATCAAATGCCTGTACAACTTTCGACACTGCTCGTTTTGATACTTGAACACGATTTGCTAACTTTTCATCTAACTCTTCTTTATCCCAGGAAGATAGTTGCATGAGAAATGACGTCGTAGCCTCACTCTCATCTGTAATAAAAAAAAGGAACTCTTTTGTTAAAAGAATTTTTCTGAAGAATTTTGCTATTATATTACATCTCTCTTAAAGTCTTCTTACTTTTGTTTTCAGATTCGTCAGCAGTTTCAGCATCAAATCTCTGCAGTAGTACACGTATGTCTTCGTTAAGCTGATTCCAATATCGATTAACTACATTAAGTACTGCATCGTCCTGCATTTGACGTTTTTCTAATTGTTCAATACGCTGTCTTAACTCAGCTTCCATTCTGTGTCTTTGTTCCAATCTCTGAGATGAATAAATTTTAGAGATATATACAAATCATATATAACATTTTATATGTAATTTATATTTGTAAAAGAGTGTATGTGTGTGTGTATTATATATTCTACTTTTTTGTTACATACTGCTTAATTTCTTATTCTATTTCTTATTTTAATTCTCTTCTATTTATAATTATAAATTATTTGTTTTAATTGTAATGAAAATAATGCAAGAGGTGTTTTTATACCTGTGCAAGCTTCTTATTCTGAAACTGCAGAACCTTCATATCCATCTCTTCAAGAGTGGATATAGGTCCAATCAGAATTGGTTCAAATTGCACCTTTTTGATAGCTGGTTGGGAACTGATGTCCCCGCTGTCTGCTGATCGTTTCGACATCTTTGCACTCAGATAATATCTCTAAATAGTGATAAAGCAATAAGTTATTCATTCATTTAGAATATTAAACAAGAAAACATATTTTTTCTTTTTTCGGTACAATTTATAGACTGTTTCAAATCTTGTAAAAAGTATCCCTATGTTTTTCATTTTGTTCAAAGTTTCAGGTAGAAAGAGTAATTTAAAGATTTTTCTAGTACAATTTTCTTCTTTAAATTAAGTTCTTGTATCATTGTTATCAATTTTCTTCTTTAAATTAAGTTCTTGTATCATTGTTATTATATGCATTTTCTAAATGCTTTTCATCTTGTACAAAAAAAAATAGAGCCAATTAAGTTTCAAGTATTAGATTTGCAAATATATTTAAAAAAAATTGAATAGCTTTCATAAAATAAATCTTTTCCATATTTTTAGTTTCTGATATTAAAAATTATAATAAGAAATATGTACTGCATATCTTGTTAAGACTTTGAACGTATAAAAAAAGATAGATATGCTTATATTTTAAATATACAATTCATATTTTGATATAATGGGGCAGATTGCAATATAAGAGATTTATTTAGAGAGAATTTTTAAAAGAATTCTTTGTTTCTTAATAAAATTTTAGAGAATATCTTGATTTTTCCAGGAATAAAAGAAATTTTTAAAAGTTCCGGATTATCCATATTTTTTTAGGAAAGGACACCCCGAGTTTGTATCATTTAATTTCTTGAATCTCTTGAATATACAGAATGCTATCTAAAAATTAAAGATTTTAATCTTGAGTGTTAACATATGCTATTCTATTATGCAGATATTTATAAACATATATGTTCAGAACTTAGAGTTTGAGAGGTTAAATATAATCTACATCAAAAAAAATCCATGTAAACATTAAATATGAGTTATCAATATTCGATGTAACGTGACAAATCTTCAAATATACGATCTCATATATATAAGCAAGAAATAAATATAATTTTAGATTAATAAAGGTGAAAGGGAGGGACAGTAATCTAACGTGACATCTATTTTTTTAACCTCTTTTTTACGATTTATTAATTATGATGGTTGGTAAACTATGATGAAGAGGAAGTTGTGTTCAAAATAGAGGGATCAGACGTAGATAATTATCGTACGCCACGAAGACGTACGATCTCCCAAATTACTCCGATCTGAAACGGCAATTCTGTTGTTATTGATCGCGAGTGCGCGCGCGCGCGCGCGCTTACTTGCAAATATACCTCGGTACGTGTGATTTCAAGCTTCAACGTCCACCTTCTGCAGCATTCGACACGCTTCTTCGCCGCTATGTCATTCCCCGATGTACCGCGCCTTACGTGCCAGATCGTTCGCCGCGTTCAATCTCCGCATCTTCCGCGATCTCGTGGACGAGGGTCGTAAACGGGGACGGGAACCGCCAGTTTGTGAACTTGCCTAACGGAAATCACCATCGCACGAAAGTAGAAGGTCGAGTGTGCGCGAAAAACGGTACTCTCATCCGGTGGAAACGCGATATACGGCTCGCTCGATACTTACGACGGTCGGTAAAGTGGGAATCGCTTATCGACTTTTGTAGTTCGCCCGCGAAAGGGCGCTGCGATCGAAGCATGATGGCGTGGTCGAGTCAGGTGGTCGGTGGTCGATCTTGTTTACCCTGCCTACAGTTTCGTATTATTTATTGACACGCGGATGTATTTGATATTTTTCATCGTTCATTATCATCGTTAAGGTTTTTACTATCTCGGGGAGTATTAATTAGTTTATTTTGTTCACATCTATAAAAATTAAGTATGGATTCGAAGAGGTTAGCTTTGTCGAAAAGTATATTGGAGATGAAGGTAAGTTGTTAAAGAAAAGATATTGATGAAATGAAGTTGTACAAGATAAAGTATTATTGTACGATGATACACGAGTTTGTTTGTGAAACAGTTCATGAAACGGACGAAGGACAAAGTGGAGAAACAGCAATTTCAAGAAGAAGGAGAGGAGTACTTTGGAAAGCACACATTACATATGAAAGAAGCATCGTAGGTATACTTTCCATTATTTCACACAAATTCACAATATTATATCTATTTATCTAGATTAATAATGCAAATAAACGAATCTTAAAATGTTGTAAGTTTCACTTTACACGATTTATTATTTGCAATCAAATTTGAAATAAAAATCTATAATTTTACTTATTATTTAATATATATGTGTTGTTTTAGAAGTATTTTTGTATCATATGATACATAAGATTATAAATAGAATTTTGTCATAAAAATTTTGTTACAATTTACAAATTATTTAAAGTGGCTCTTTTAAAATGTGTTATTAAGATCAAAATATTTTATTGACAGTGTTGTTGCTAACAATTGTAATATTTTATGTTTAAGTGGAAAATTCTTTATGGAACCGAGCTATGTTTTCTGCGAAGAACTTATCGAAGGTAGGTTAAGTTTTCAAGGAATGAATCCAACAATAGAGAAGTTAATGGAAGCAAAAGAAAATGCAAAGCGAGGCCAAGAAGAGGTTAAACAAGAAGTTGATGTATCAGACGAGCAAATGGCTGTTCAATGGAAAAAAATGCGAACAAAGTTTGACGTTATGCAGAGAAAGAAAACGCAATACAAAACTAGTAGAAAATCGCAACATAGTAAGACGGATTGTAAAGAAGAACCAATGGAGAAAAGACCAAAATTTCTAAAACCAGTGGACTAGATCTGTAATTTGGTAAATAATTATATTAGTTGCTTATTATTATAGGTATTATAGGTATTATTATTATAGGTATTATTATAGGTATTATAATAGTACGTGTACTAATAAAATATTTTGTACAATGACAAAAATAGACAAGACAAGTTGCTACACTAGCATGTAAATTTGACATCATAAGCTGTTTATGATATCACTTCGAAGTTTTACATAATATTGGAGTTGACACACTAGCACACATAAATTTGACATCATAAACTAATAATTTTGAGTTTTTATATCATATTGAAGTTGACATCATGTACAAATTTTATATTTTCACATAATATTATATTAATATTATGTAAAAATATAATATTAATATATAAATATATATAATATATAAATATAATATATAATATATTAGAATATATAAATATTAGTATATGTAATATATAAATATTAAATATATATGTATGTGTATATATATATATATATATATATATATATATATGTATATATATATGTATAATTAGTTAATGCCACCTTAAATTTTTATATATATGTTGCTAGAAGGAAATCGCATGAAATATTATTTGTCACGTTTGGAATATATGACATATATATATGCATATATTTTTCTTATTCATAAAAATTTTTCATGTAACGTTCAAGACAGAGCTTGTATATTTTTATTCACATATAGTTTTCTTCGTTACGAAATCTGACGCGGTGAGCAGTTTCCGAAATGTTTCCACACATACACCATCACTGCAATCCTTTCGTTGTCCTTCTTGCCAAAACGCATCGAAACTATTCTCCGGGAACTCGAAACCAACGTTCTCGAATATTTCCCGCATTTCTTCCTTGTCGCGAATCTGTGTAAAAAATTAACAGAAACTTTTCTCGTAAGGAAATTTTTTTGCTTCGATTATAACTTCTATATATAATACTATTTATGTTTAATTAAAACTAAAAATATATATATCGATAAATATATATCGATATGATAATATGCTATTAACTTTCTGCGACGTATAAGCAATCTACCTTAAAAAGATCTATATGTGTCAAGCCGTATCTCGTGAAAATGCTGGGCGATATCAAGCAATGAACGGAAGTTTGATCGCCTAAATTCTCTTTATCTGGATATATACCTGCACGTGGTAACATTGTCATTGAAAAATCCGATCTTGTGGATGGAAGTCCTGCTGCGCGAATTTCTATAATATTTTCTAAAGTTTATATTTCAAGTATTTATTTATCTTGAAATTCTTATTAAGTTAATTTTAAGATGTGAGAATATTAAAGAGAATATAACTTACTTGCGCTATCAATTGTTTGAACATTTCCTATGCTATCACCGTATGTGCTAACATAATCTGAATTCGCCAACGATGCTTCTAAAATAATATTTTTTGGATATCATCGTCGTTGCAAGTTAAATTAAAAAACTAAAATATGAATTAAAAATTATTTAAAATTATTTAAAATTGTTATTAATATTACACAAAAATTTATATAATAATTAATAACAATTTTAAACAATATTAATTTTAATATCATATTTTAATTTTTTAATTTAATTTGTTTTTCTAACTTTCCTAATTGGTCGACCTTTTATAAAAAGTATATGTGTATGAGAAAAATTTAGAGATACTAAAGTTATCGTAATTTATTCACGTTTCATCTTTGGCAGAACTGGCAAATTGCATCTCCAATTTAAGAGATTAAGCAATTTTCTGTAATTAATATTTCCGTCTTTGCGTAACAGCAACGTATCCATCAACGGAGAGAGAAATTCCTTGTTCGGAGATATGTGAAACTTCTCGAAGATCGAGAAAACCTCATTTTCGGGTAGAACTCCGCCATAATTCTGAATCATAATTTCATAATTTGTATTTTACATAATTTGTTAAAATACGACTTTAATTTTTGTGTATGATTGATTAACTTAACGATTAATAACATCTTTTGGTTATTCTTATGCGGAAATTTAAAACTCAATTTATCGTTACGAAAAGAATTCAGATTAATTACAGAATTTATGTATAAAATTATAATATAAATAAAATATATAGAATAAAAACATATATAGAAATTAAAAACATATATATAGAAATATTATGGATATATAAATCGCGAAATATGTCGATATACTTGATCTAGATGAGAAAGTTCGTCCTCTATATCCAAGAATGGTACTTCCGGAACGCGTTTCTTGAGCTTTTTACGGAAATTACTTAAATCGCGTAGACATTGCCACCAGAAAAGAGTCTGCTCGTTTAAATCGGTATCGCGTAAAGAGTCCGAAGCATCGAACTTATCTTTGACGCTTTTCTTACCATGCACAATATCTGCATAAAGATGCGATGTTTTCGGATCTCTTGAATTACAAGTTGTTTGTTATTTTTTGCCATTTCTATCATTAGTTCTATCATTAGTTATTCATTTATTACATGAAAAAGTAAACCGTTAATTATATCTTTATCACCTGACAACATTATTTTATAAATTGATAGAAATGTATAAATCCGTAAAAATAGCTAATTAAAAATATTCTCGTTTTAAAGGGACTTTAAAAGGATTGGAAACATTTTTTTATTTATTTATTCATATGAGCGAATTTGTTATGTAAGAAGTTGATGCGGTTTTTTTTAATTCGTACATGTCACTATAAAACATACAGATATAATACTCTGAGATTCAAGATTACTTGATTCGTCCGACAAATGATCTAGTGCGTTTCGTGAAATCTGCTTGTCGATGATCGACTAATGTAATTGGCTCGTTATTAATCCATGTAAAAATTCTTCTGATATGTGATTCTAATTTCTGACTTTTCGTGGATTTACCAAATCTGTCAGACTTATCGAAAGGCTTTTTATAACTGTGTACAAATTTTATATAAAGACAATTTCATCGAATTTGCTTAAATAGCTATAAATTGCTTATACTCTTACGTCACGTATATGTATTACTTACTTTCTTGTAATTTGTTCCGATGGCTCGTAACGATTATGCGATTTTCGGTACCAAGAACGCGTAATATCCTCTCGCACTTTCATCGCGTTTTCCTCAATTTCAGCTATTTGTTTCATCTTTTATAAAAAATGTAATTAATGTTAGTTAATTACAATTTTTATATTAAGAATTAGATAGAAAGGTGACCTCGACGTTTCAAATTTTACGCTTTGGAAGAACTATTTATTAATTCCCGAATTAGATAAAATATTAAATTAATAAAATACTTATGTCCTTTTCGGCAAAATCCAAAAATGTTTTTCTATCGCAACTTTAAAAATAATTCTTAACTTTTGGTCGATATTTTTAATCTTCAATCTTCAAAATTTCGATTAAAATTTTTGAAAAAAGATTCCTCCAAGGCATTTAAATTATTCTCGATATTTTATCGAAATTTTCAAGGAGCATCCTATTATTCCTATGAATAATCATACTACGAGACTCTCCCTATTGTCGATACATCTTTCACCACTTACACACGATATCACGTAACGAAATACCGTATAACAGTTTTGCAATGGAATTGCAGAAACGGAATACGACTTATAGCGCCCCAACGACGTAACATTATACACGAAGGATATATCGAATGAAGTTGTTCGGTTAGTTCTTCGCTTTTTTTATTTCCACGTCTTAAGTACGTGTTAATTTTCCAAGATGGATTTACAGCGTTTAAAAAGCGGCGTCTTATTGCACGCAGCATGTGATTCAATTAATTACCGCATTAATTATCACCGTTGACGTTATGTAATAACGTAAAATAGAGAGTTACGCGCAGTTCAATAATTTCTGGTATTTAATATCCCTTTCTGCTTATATGTATGGTATATATATGCGAATGTATATTTTTTAATGTATATTAATAGCCACCATGTAATAACGCGATTATATATCCATACATATTTAAATTTTATAAAATGTCTGTCACTTGTTCTATCAACTCGTAGATCTCGTTACATTTGTATTAGAATTCTGTCGGATTTGATATCAATTATATCCCTTTATTGCCAAAAAAGCTTACAAGTTTTGTATATATTCGACGATGTCGGCTGAATTTGAATAGAAATTTAACGAGATTTGGTAACGGATAGCTGGCAGATTGACGTGGCAAAAATTTAAATATCATTAAATATCATTATCATGTTTATAAATACCCAGATTATTCGTAACACATAGTAGTATTCTTATTATATGTATGTAGATATATTGCCGTACAAAATTCGTACACAACATGACATTTATATTAACAGCTGCTCCTTTATCCGGGAAAGCAATTCGCGCTTGTTGCACCACTTTTCCGAGATTTAATATATTCTTACAGCTGTCACGTCCACCTATGATGCAATAACATAGCTTGTTTCGTCTTGTTTCTCAGATGAAATACCGGACCGTTAATTGCGGTAGCATGTGGCTCGCCTTGAACGGCTCTTCCCTTTAAAAACGCCGCAGGATGGTTGGCGTATCGAAAATCGTGACCCGATGACCGCGTCGAGAAAATAAAATCAAACTCGATAAAAGTCGAATCGCAAATCTCTCACGTACATCGGGCAACATTGATTTCAGAAAAAAATATCGCGGGCTTTTACTCATGTCCGATATTGTTCCGATAATATTTTCAGCCTCACGATTTTGTTTACGATGCAATGCAAAACCGAATCGATATGCCAGTTAAAAAAAAGGGATTTAAAGTATTATTCCAAAAAGTTGTGCAAATCGTAATTAAAAAAAAAACGAACGATACCCTGAGAAAGAGAAAAATTTATGTCATTTTTATTTTACAAAAGAAAGATCGCGGATAAAATTAATTTTTAATGATCGCAAGCGCATTTGCATCGGATTATCAAAAGATACGAAATGAGTCTCTGACTGAGTCCTTTTAAGAAATTTTTTTATATTTATAATTTACAAATTTATTATAATTTTAATTCACTCTTCCCCCTCAATTTCTCAATGATAAATGTATCTGAGAAAGGAAGAGTTGTATAAGACTCTGTTATCGGCTTATCTATTCTGAATGCATTATGAATTAGCGTTTAGAAACAAGATCATCCGTACTTCTTCCTACTTGATCCGCTCGTACAATATATGATTAAATCCTGATTGCGTTTAATGCGATCACGTCGTAACGAACGGTAACTACCTATCGGCCGTGACGATTTGTTTTCTCCAAAGGCGCGGCGTGCACCAATTCGCCATCGCGAATAAGACTACCGTGAGACGAGTGCGGATGCGCTCGTTGCGAGCACTCGCGACGTGTTATTTCCAGAGAAAAGAGCGCGCGTTACCAAGATTACGGACAATTTGCGCGATACCTCAATGATTGGAATCGTGTTCGAGGAAGGGGGTGGTCGGGGAATCTCGATGCGAATCTCGAGGGCACACAATGCGGCGACTTTCCTTCCTGGCGTCGAACGCTTCCCCTCCGTCCGCCTGGTATTCCATAATTGTTCTGGAAAAGCAATTAAAGCTCCCCGACCCATTGATTGGAGAATGATTAGTGCCACGACGATGGAATTAATCGTTCCACCGAGAAGAGATACAAGGAAGATAAAGGGAGATTGCACTACTTTGTTGATGATGATAACACAAAGAATCTTTTTTGTATATACTTCATTTCTTTTTTTTTTAATATTCATAATTCATAATTTTTCATAATTTTAAATATTCATAATTTTTTAATATTAATTTTTTAATATTTTTTAAATAATTTAATATTTTTTTATCACTATGATATATAAGAAATATATTACATCACTTCGATAAATGCTATCATGCAAAAATTAATGAAAATATTATATAATAGCAAATTTATACAATAAATATTCTACAGAATCGAATGATAAATATATCTTGATAGATAATGATAATGAGATAGTAAATATTAGATATTAAGTTGTGCAGCTACCGATCCTAGATAATTTAGAATGTGTGCTAATCTATCTGGCGCGTCTATTTTATTTTTTTTTACATTAACGAGGAACATGCGTCTCTGAGAGTTTTATGAAGAGAGAATGTGATAGGCTGACGGTCTTGTTGTTCGTCTTGTACGTGCTAAATATTTGAGTCAGGTTGTCGTCGGTATTAAATGACGAGCAAACATCGCCGAAGAAACATCGCGGAAGAAAACGCCGCTCATTTATCAAGTGCAAACAAGGCATCGTTCTGTCTACTTTCCTCGCATTATCCCTTAGAATAAGTAATTCAATAAATAATACGAATAAGTTATATATTCAAATAGCTTGGATAAAAATTTCCCCCAACACAGTCGTGATGATACAGTGAGATTAATTGAAAATAATAATTGAACTGAATGAAATTATTTCTATTACTTTATCTATTAATGTAAATATATCTCTTTCTGTCTTTTTTTAATATCTCTTTTAATATAACATCAATTAAAAATATATAAATTAATACATTTAAAAAATAAATTAATATAAAATCAGTTCGACTTTCGATATTATTTATGTAAGCTTGATACAATAAAATTGATTTATATAACAAAATTTATTTATACATTTCACACAGCATCTCTCCGTTTGTGAAGGAATGTATGAGAGATGCACGAACACGCAAAACGTTTTATTTGATAAAAACTTTCTCAATGAAGAGTAGATGCAAATCTTTCTCTCGTGGAATAATTTTACACAAGATACAAATCTTAAACGAGAGACTACAAGAAAAGAGAACAATCTTGAAATCGTACATGTGCGTAATCTACAAATGTGCGTAACGAGAAAAGCCCGAGATCTCGGTCGACACTCGATATCGCGTCCAGCTGTGCGCGGAAACGGATTTTTAAGTTACAACCTCGTGTAAAGAGAGAAGCGCTAAACGGCAACGAACGCTTGAAATTCACGCTCGTTGCGTCGTCGTATTGCACTTTAAAGCAGCAGTTCCCAAACTGTACAAGCGAGAGTAAAAATAAACCACGGAAGATATATTGCAAGAAAAGATAAGAATGTGACATACCGTGCTTCGCATTAAACATATGTACATTTCTAATTTTGGAATAAATCGAAAATTTATAGAGTTGATGATTCTCATGATTTACTCACTAAAAAAAAAAAAAAAAAAAAAAAAATATATATATATATATCATTATAAATATATATATCATTAAAAAAGAGTCATTATTTTTCTTGGATTGCTAAACCTCAAAATTTACTCTATAGATTCATATCTCGATCTCTTGATCCAGAGTTAAGCGACTTTACAACTTTACGATCTTAATCTTTCGTTAAATAATTACATTCGAGTGTAATAAATCATGGGATGCGAAGAAACAGAGCAGAAAATACCATAAGAAAAGGATTTTTCATCGTCTGCCATGTATAAAACGCTACGCGAGTAAGGTCAGACTATTCAGAACAGACTTCCCCTGAAAAGGGAGAAGGTAAGAGATGCTTCTTTTGGGAACCTGTTGGTAGCATGTGATACGAAACAGTGTCAGCGAGCGGGGTCAGCATGTGAGTAAAACGGTAACCGAGCGCGAAACAATATTTGCCCGATAATCAGCCTGGAAAACGTTCTCTCCACGTGCTAATGGATTTAGCGGTGACAGGACGCGAAACCACGTGTGCGCCCCGCTCCGGCCAACGAGCGTGCTCCACACGCGTGTTGCACGAATGTTTGCCGTGCCGTGTCGTCTCGTCTCGTCTCGTTCCCGTCGTATTTTACCGCGACAACGATCGATAGGAGTTTTATTCATGCGAACAAACAAACCGTTCGTCCCGGGTTTTTTTTCGCGGCGAACGAGCTCGAGAGCGATTCGAATTCGGGTCGAATTCTAACGCGCGGGAGACCCCGTTGTTTTATATGTCATAGATTTATTGCGGAACGCATCATTTCCCGAGAGTCTCTCAGCAGGTATAATTACGGTACAGCAAGCACTACTACTTACGTGCGCCCCTTTTGATTGAAGCTTTCATTTCGAGAAAGAACCTGTTGCCTAGAGAGATTAAAGAATAAAGGTTTTTAAATTTGAAAATTTAAATTCAAGAAGAAAAGAGAATCATGTGAGAAATAATTTGTGAAGATACTTTTTTTAAGAATAAAATGTGAAAAAAATAGGAAA